ACTCAGGGGACATACCAGTGAGCAGGTGGAGTCTCAAGTCCGACTAGTTCGAGCGACTTTTGAGAGGCTGGGTTTCCTGCTCAACATGAACAAGTCAACCTTGTCACCGACTCAAAGAATAGAATTCATCGGTGTGGTGCTGGACTCGGTGCACGCAAGGGTGTTCCTGCCAGAGACCCAATTTCAGACCATGAAAGACATTATCCAAAACCTCAGGAGGTAGCTGACCACTACCACGAGGGGATGCCTGAGTCTCTTTGGTCACATGGCACCCTGCACTTATGTGGTATGGCATGCCAGACTGAGGCATGCCAGACTGAGGCTCAGACCACTTCAAGCATGGCTCGTGTCTGTATACCACACGGGGCGCAACAGCCTGGAATCAGTGGTCACGGTGCCAGAACAAGTAGTTGAGTCCCTCCAATGATGGCTCAACCCTCGCACAGTCTGCAAGGGAATCCCCTTCAACAGCCCCCAGCCCTCCTTGTCCCTAGTAATGGACACTTCAGCTCTGGGTTGGGGGGCACATCTGGGAGAGCTCCAGACACAGGATTATGGTCGCAGGATGAGCTCTCCCTGCATATCAATATCAGAGAGCTCAGAGCAGTACGGCTAGCATGCCAAACCTTCCTATCCCGGTTCCAAGGCCAGAGTGTGCGGGTAATAACAGACAACACCACGGCCATGTTTTACATCAACAAGCATGGTGGAGCCCGCTTTTCCACCCTATGTCAGGAGGCCCTTCAGCTATGGGAGTTCTGCATAGCCCACTCCATTCACCTGGATGTGTTCTATCTCCCAGGTGTGCAGAACGAACTAGCGGACCATCTCAGCGGATCGTTTCACAATCACGAGTGGGCCATCCATCTGGATGTCATATATTCCATCTTCCAAAAGTGTGGGTTTCCCCAGGTCAATCTGTTTGCCACCAGGAGCAACGGAAGATGCCCAATGTTCTGCTCCTTTCAGAAACACAGCCCGGGTTCGATCTCGGATGTGTTCCTGCTCCCTTGGGGAGACCATCTCATGTATGCCTTTCCACCATTCCCACTCGTGCACAGAGTACTGCTGAAAATCCGCAGAGACAGAGCTGTAGTAATTCTGCTGGCCCCGGCGTGGCCCTGCCAGCGTTGGTACACCACACTTCTGGAGCTGTCAGTGGACACTCCCATCGTGTTATCACTCTACTCCGATCTGATCACGCAGGATCATGGTTGTCTTCACCACCCGGACCTCCAATCCCTCCATATCAAGACTTGGAAGCTTTATGGCTAAACCCAATGGAGCTCCTGTGCTCAGAACAGTAAGAATGGTCCTGGTCGGCAGCAGAAAACCATCTGCCAGGGCCACTTATCTGACCAAGTGGAAAAGGTACACTTGCTGGTGTGCTCAACATCACACTCCTCCACTCCAGGCGTCTATACCACTCATCCCGGAGTACCTTCTGCACCTCAACCAACAAGGCCTGGCAGCGTCATCTATCAAGGTACACCTTGCTGCTATCTCGACCTTTCATCCGGGGCATGTCTGGATGCTCCATATTCACTAACCCTATGGTAGGACATTTCCTTAAGGGCCTGGAACGGCTATATCCTCGGGTTAGACAGCCTCTTCCGGCATGGGACCTTAACCTGGTCCTGTCCAGATTAATGGGACCCCCATTCGAACCACTGATGACTTGCTCCCTTCTCTACCTGTCATGGAAAGTAGCCTTCCTGGTCGCCATCACATCAGCCAGGAGGGTGTCAGAGTTAAAGGCCCTTACCTTCGACCCACCCTACCTGGTCTTCCACAAGGACAAGGTGCAACTCAGACCTCACCCGGCCTTTCTCCCTATGGTAGTTTAACAATTCCATATTAGCCAAGACATTTTTCTACCTGTCCTGTATCCCAAGCCACACAACAGTACCCAAGAGCAAAGGCTGCACTCATTAGATGTTCGGCAGATGTTAGCATTCTACATTGAGTGCACAAAGCCGTTCAAGAGGTCGAACCAGCTGTTTGTGGCAGTGGCAGACCGCATGAAAGGACTCCCAGTCTCATCTCAAAGATTATCTTCATGGATCATGGCCTGTATCCGCACGTTATGAGCTGGCCAAGGTCCCAGACCCGCCTCTTAAGGCTCATTCCACAAGGGCACAGGCCTCGTCGGCTGCGTTTCTGGCCCAGGTCCTGATATAGGAAATCTGCAGGGCAGCTACTTGGTCCTCGGTGCATACGTTCACCTCTCACAGTGCCATCACACAGCACGCTAGAGATGATGCAGCTTTCAGCAGAGTGGTGCTCTAATCAGCGATTCCTTAACTCCGACTCCACCTCTGGGGTAGAGCTTGGGAGTCACCTGATTGGAATTGACGTGAACAAACACTTGAAATAGAAAAAACGGTTACTCACATTCTTGTAACTGTTGTTCTTTGGGCTGGTCCACACTAACCCCCCACTTCGAACTAAGATACGCAACTTCAGCTACGTTATTCACGTAGCTGAAGTCGAACTATCTTAGTTCGAACTTACCGCGGGTCCACTCACGGCAGGCAGGCTCCCCCGTCGACTCTGCGTACTCCTCTCGCGGAGCAGGAATACCGGCGTCGACGGCGAGCACTTCCGGGATCGATCCGGGATCGATTTATCACGTCTAGACAAGACGCGATAAATCGATCCCAGAAGATCGATTGCTTACCGCCGGACCCAGAGGTAAGTATAGACGTACCCTTTGAGATGTGTTGTTCAGGTCCATTCCAATACCCACCCTTCCATCCCTCTGTGGAGTAGTCGGCAAGAGGGAACTGAGGAGAGGCCAGGTTAGCAGGGTCATAATATTGAGCGTGATGAAGACGCCACTCCAGGGGGCTCCACAGCCGACCTGACGGGAGCTGCTGGGGGGAAAATTTCCAGTACAACCTGTGAAGCAGATTCCTGAGAGTCCTCGAGAGGCGCATCCCACTAGTCCGGGCTCCTATCCTACAATGGGACCTTAACTTGGTTCTTTCTAGGCTCACGGGCTCACCCTTTGAGCCTATGGGCTCCTGCTCCCTTTCCCACCTGTCATGGAATGTCGCTTTCCTTGTGGCGATAACATTGGCAAGACGAGTGTCGGAGATTAAAGCTCTGACATTAGAGCCGCCATATAGGTGTTCTACAAGGACAAAATCCAACTGCGACCCCATCCGGCCTTTCTGCCGAAAGTGGTGTCTTCCTTCCTAAGTTAAATATTTTCCTCCTACTAATTATTGCTTGTTCATAAAATAAACATCAACTTCTTTACAGGTAAGTAATCCACAGATTCATACATTTGGCTACAAGACAATGGAACATCAGATTAATAGCTTCATTAAGCCATATTACCTCAAGGTATAACTATTATCACACTTGGCTAAGAGGATAACATGCATGTAACACACCATTGCTGAATGCTTCCCTTTGCGAGCATTATCAGGAGTGTTTTATTTTTAAGAGATCCTTTTTATTGCTGCATTTTTATAACTCAGTGGGATTTTTTTTTTGCCTTGTTCTGTAAGTACTCCTAAAACTAAATTGTGAGATTGATGGCTACTAGCATGTGGTGGTAGTGGTGGAATGGTGGGCAGGCCCTGTTCAAGTGGGAGAGGCCAGAGGCATTCTGCCTACAGAAAAAGATGTATCCATGGGCACTTGGGGATTGCGTGGATGAGCAGCAACTGCTATTCCCTTTAAAAGACGCAGCGTGCACTCCCCCCTTTCCAAATTCCTGACCACAATGCAGAAGAGCTAATGGGCTCTACCCATGTTCTGCTCCATTGGAGGTCACTACCATTACTATGACCCCCCTACCTTGTGCTCAGAAAACAAAGGTACAGGATTTTGGCTGCCCCTTCAAGTCCCACATCCCTGCACAACAACGCGAGAGAAACCAAATTATAACTCCTGAGTATTTTATTGATTTGTGATTTTATGTTTATATATTTTCATGACATGAAAAATGCATAACATATAAAGCAAAATATATAGAGAGAACAATTTAGACCAATATAAAAGGAAGGTAAAATAACTGATAAATAAGTAGATTTTTGTTTTTCATTTATAGTGCTCTCTGTGCCATGTAGACCTATGATGAGATAATGTGCCTACCCATGAAGATATAACAAGCAGGCTTAGTTGTAAAATCTTCTGACTAAAAGAAAAGCAAATTCTAAGGTGGGGCATATAGACAAGATGCTGGAGGAAAAAAGTCAAATTAAATTGTGTTTATTCTAGGACAAGTTTTTAACGGGGGACAGATAAAATGCTTGGTTACTCAAGAATCTTCAAAACAATCCAACAGATTTAACAGCTGATTCATTTGGGCACTGTCTTTCCAGTATTGTTGGAGCCATAGCTCAGTGGTTGAGTATTTGACTGCAGTATTGTAATAACATTCTTTTAGAAACTAGAAAAAGAACCTGCTTTCCAAATACGTTGGTACTGTTGTCTGGCAGAATTGGGGAATTTTAATTCAGTTAAGATGTATAATACAGATATTAGAGACATAATCTGGGTTTTTAAATGCAAGTATTAAGGCTGGTTATTGTAACAAAAAGATGGTCAAGGATATGTCTAAGACTGTTCTGGTTTTAATATTTTAAACATGGAGAATGAGGAGTTTAAATTAAATTTAGAAACAAGGGCTAGATGATAACATCAGAATAAATGTAATCTACAGTACTGATAACATGATGTAACTAGAGAGTACAGAAGTTTGGAAAAACAGATCTTCAAGAATAAGAATTGTCTTAATTAATCCTAAAATGTATTTGCAAAAGGAGGCAGGGAATAGAATCAGTATAATACTTAAAATATAAATCATGTAAAAGAATTACAATGAGTTTAATGGACTCCTCCCTACCTCATCAAAAAAAATCTGTTGGTATTATCACAGCACTATATATTTTATTCTCCATCTTTATCATTGATATAGACACCTTACTTGTGTTAATTTACCAAACTTAACTATTCACCATGTGTGTCTTATTTTTGTTCATTAGGTGTGAGCATTTTCGTTCCATATTAAATAACAATGATGATGATATTATAGAAATGAGTGAATTCTCTTATCAAGTTTACCGAGCCTTCCTGGAATATCTGTACACAGACAGCATCAGTCTCCCTCCTGAGGATGCAATAGGTAATTGGCATAAATTCAAATAATGTCAAGTTACTGTTAGGAGAGAACTTAAAGTTTGTTTTAACAGGTTCTAGAAAAATGGAGTTGATCATGTTCATTGTTATTTTACTATCCTTTAAACCTTCTTTTATGCTCCATCGCATGTACATGGATGAGGTGATCCATGCAGCAGAGAATCGTGCAGGAGGAGGAGGATGGCAAAGATGCAGTGGAAGAAAGGGGCAGAGTGAACGGGAGGGGAGGATGAAATGAACAGCAAATGTAGACTGTATTCAAAAAGGACCATCATTTCTCATATTTAAAACAGTTTTAAAAAGACCCTGATACCTTCCTAATATTATCTTTCCATTTGATGTAGTTGCCACAGACATTATTTGACCACAAATGGGAAGGGTGCTGGCCCAAATCATCACTGAAGAGAGGGGAGATGGTTCACTAAATAATCTCTATTAAAATGTGATGCAAACTGCAAAAAAGATGGAGCACTTGTGTCTTAATAAGTGTGAACTCTTCAATTTGCATAAAGCCTTTTTGGAGGTTTTGTGTAAAAGTGGATCATGGAATCATAGAGAAACAAACTGATAAATCCGAAATACAGGTTTATATGGCTTGCATAAAGACAACCAAATATCTGTGAATTTTCTACCTAATTCTCAACAGGGCTGCTAGATTTGGCAACATTCTATAGAGAAAATAGATTGAAAAAGCTTTGCCAGCAAACTATCAAACAAAGCATTTGTGAGGAGAATGCAATTGCTCTTCTTTCAGCTGCAGTCAAATATGAAGCTGAGGTATGGAAAACTTTTATTTGTACTAGAAGTTCCTTAGTGAGATAACTGTTTTTCGGGACATGGATCTATTTATGTTAACTATTTTTTGCAATTAATGAACCATCACACATGAATATTGTAATCAACTTCTCTGGCTTCCCTAAGCATGGACATTTCCCCTTTCAGTCCCTACAAAATGAGGCTGCTAATGTCATCTTCCTTGCCTGCTGACTCGATTGTGTCAGTCTCCTCTTTGAATTCTTTCACTGTCTCCTCATCTGCTCTGGCATGACATTTAAGCTTCTCATCACCACTTAGTATATAACTCTGCCAAAGCCACTTATCCACCTTTGAGTTTTGCATTACCTTCTGACCATGTTCTTCCAATGTACCTTCACTGACCATTTGTCAGATTTTTGCACAATCCTCTCTCTACCTCCTTCCACATGGTCCCCTTACACAGGATACAACCTCCTTGGGCTATCTTGTAAGGCCCTTCTCTGTATGCATTTGTTCCTCTCTCAAAGATTGACTTCTGCTATGCGGCTTACAGTGACTCATGTTGACATGTAAACAAATTGCCTGTTGTTTCTTTTCCCCTATCCTGTGTCTTCTCATCTGTCTATTCTTGGATTGTGAGCAGGGAACGTCATTCTAGAATGTCTGGAAAGCACCAATAGTGTAATGGGCACTACTTAAAAAAACCGTTTTATTTGCAAATATGCTAACATTTTATTTTGTGAAAGAAGTTTGCCTTTTCTTTATTTTTCAGTACTATTCGGTCTGCAAAATATCTGTAGTTTGGTATTTACAAGATACTTGAATATTAATTTTAGACTTAATATATCATTTCAACCTGACCAGCTAGTTAAGGAAGGTCCCTTCATGAATACATCAAACTCCCACAAATACTAACACAAGTTAAATGTGTGCATTGAGACTAAATTTGTTACTGGCCAAAACATTGCCAATCCATTGATTGCAGTATAATAGCAGTCTGCTTAATCCAGTGGTGAATTTGCCCCATCTGGTTGATAGGGAACCACGTATGTGAGTAAATAGGTGTGCTGACTGAACACCACAAATATTCAGTAGTGCCAATATCTTGGTTTATTAATTACTTGCAAAACCAGTTAAATCTGTCAGCTTGGCAGGTTTTTATAATTTACAGCTTCATCCTTATTAAGAAATCAAGTCACACTGGGAAACCCAAAGGATGGCGCTGAACTGAGACCTTTTAAAATGTTTATTATTTCTTTCATTTAGTTTTGCCTTTCTAAAGAAGCCTGTAGGGAGGGATTTAAATGAGAAGAATGTACATGTCTGGCGAAGCTGGATTGGTAGGCTGTCCATGCATAGAGGGCAGTGAGGGAGAAGGGGCAAAAATGGAAGTAGAAGAAGGGAGTGTTGAAACTGTCATCATTGATGATATAAGTATGACAGGATAAAAAATGAGCTATAAATTTGGATGCATTTGTGCAGAGCTTGAAGATGAGGAGACAAGAAGTGTACATTTAATATTGAGGGGTTGGAAGATGTGGGGTGGGGGGGTTGACATGGTCGGATTGACAAAAAAATAATTTTGTCTGGAGGCAGAGCAATGTGGGGAGATAATGGCATCTCCACCAACCTCACTAAGTAATCAAAGCAGAAGATGACCAGGGCATTAATAATTGTAACATTAGAACCAGAAAGGAAGGGTCGGATTTTTAGTGTTGTGGACACTGAAGTGAAAGATACTGTGGTGTGGGGAAGCGCAGCAACTTTTACTCTTAATAGGATAGGTTTTCATTTGAAGTTTGTTATAGAAACTTCAAAATAGACTGCCTCACCTTAAAAATATTCTACACCTTTAATTCTACTTGTCAACATCAGAAAAGGCTTTGATCAACCTGTTTCACTTGGAACTATTACAAGTGAAATTATGTGTCATGCAACATGTAAAACTAGCCTGGACAAAGCGCCCGTGAATATATTGTAGGAAACAGGTGGTGATGGGGATGGACTGGATGACCTCATGCATGTTTTCCAGCTCTACCTTCTATGATTCAGTTTTAATTAGCAACTGTAATACTCTTTCAGAAATTTTGTATTGTCCTTTAGCACAGCCATTGATTATAAACTGAAGGAGGTAAGCACTGTTAAAACTGCAGAAATAGTGAAAGTATAGGATAGTGTGTCAGCACCTTAGCTGCAAACACTTTTAAGACTACAAGGTGCAGAAATGTAAAACATGAAATTTCTCTCTAGAAATCATCAGTTCATAAAATAAATCTATATGTAGCAGTTGGAAAAGGTACCAATGTTTAGTTTCTAATTTATTTTCAATTTATGTAATCAACACAAGTAAAAGATGGGAATATGCTGCAGTTCTCAGCCCTAATATGAAAAATAAATTGACTTAATTGACTTTACAAAAGATAAATGCATCCAGAAGTAATAGTCACAAATACGACACCTTTGAAAATTGTGGAAATGCTTGCTGAGGTATTGTCTGTTTGCAGGAGTAGTTCTATGCAATTGCTATTTTTATAGCACATTTCTAATGTACTGTGGGCTGGATTGAAGGTTAATTAGCTGTTATTTATACTAGAAATTAAAAGTTACGATTTCCTAACCACCAAAATTATTAAACATCGTTCCCCCGACTGGCCAGTGAAGAGATTTTTTTTTCAGTATAGCAGGGAAGCAACCTCCCTTAATTTTCTTTTAGACAAAGATTGTAGTACTCCTAGGATTCCTGGAATATAATCTGGAATGAAATCTAAACTGTCATTACATTCCCGTGCACACTCTTACCCCCTACTCTTGCCACTTTCTTCTATATTTTTGGCATTTCCTGTTCTTCCTCTTTTTTGTTGTTGTGTCCCCCACCACACACACACACTTTTTTGTGGTTCCATGCCTTTTCCCTCTGGGCATTTTTTCCCCACTTTATTCCCTTTTTCTTTTTAAACCCACTTTTATAACTGTTGGTCTCCTTTTTCGGCTTTAATTGCATCTCTGCAGAGGCAGCAGACTAGAAGCATTTAACCCATGGAAGGGACTACAAAGGGAAATGAACTAGCATCTTCGGAACTTCCCCTTTTCCCTCCTGCCCAGTGTGCAATACTTGTATACTTCACACAGAGGGAAACTGACTAGGATTAGTACATTTCTTTTTTCAACACGCTTCAAAGAGGTTGCAGATTGTGAATCATGATGTCAAAATATTGCCTTGTGGCTAACTCTGTCTGTAATGTGCTTGCTGCAAAGGACAGGCTAATTCCTTTTCCTTCTGCAGAAGTTGTTTACACAGGAACAAGCTGCAAAAGGGATAGGTCTCAGTGCATAAAGAGAGGGAATGCTGCCACTGCGAGAAGGTTGAATGGGCAATGCTCACTGAGTGCAGTTACTGTTGCATGGTCTACAGAACATATGACAGTCATCCACGCTGGGTGTACCTATACTGAGAATTTTCAGAAAATCTCACTATTGATCTAACACTTGTACTAGTAAGTCTAGGACAAGACAGTTATTTTTACCATCATGTCTAATCCAGCTGCTGTTTTTTCTCTGCACATGTTACAAGACACACATTCAGAGGTCAACGTGTATATCTACATCCTTGTGAGGCTAACGTGTCCTTTCATTATGTTAAATATTCAGGGTAGAGGAGGCAGTTAATTTGGGGTCCTTCAATGGCTAGAAAATAAATGGTATTTTTGACAAATTTTGCAGATGGCCGCTGTTGAAGTTAATGTGGGTAAAGGAGGGAAGGAATCATTAGCCTTTTTCCAGGCATACACTAGGAAAATTGAAGGCTTTATTGTTATATGATGCATTTATTTCTTTTTGAGTGTACAAATAACAATTTTTAGAGTTATTGCATATGGTTGCACCTTTTGCATTTTTATATTGTGTCTACCTTCAAGTTGAAATACAGAGCTGACCAAATTATGTTAGCTGTCTCCTGTTCATGTTTGTGACGTGATCCTGATTTCTGGTCATGCATAAGGATTCATCATATAGTTCATATGAACAAATTTCATCCTGTTGTTTTTGAGGTGGTCACTTAGATTACCAAACCCACTGCAGTCTAGTCAGTCACAGGGTATGCTAGCTGGTTGGATGATTGAAACTTTTTAAACACACATTTTCAGTATCAATCATTTCTACTAAAATTCATAAACTTTCCAAATTCATAAACATTTTTGCAGTCTTCCACATATTCTAAAAGCAACCCCATGAACAACAGTGGAGTGAAGAGAAACAATTATTTACTTTAATTGTGATTTTTTGAGATGTGATGCAGATGTGTATTCCACTTAGGCATGTGCGCACCCAGCGCACCAGAGCTGGAGAATTTTGCCTAGCAGTACCCATAGGAGGGCAGCGCTAGCGCCTTATGGCTAGAGCCCCTCCCCTGGCTATATGAGGCAGCGCCATCCGACCCTCCTCAGTTCTTTCACATTGAATAGCCAGAGAGTAGACTCTGATGCAGAGGAGACAGAGGGTGGGTCGTGGAATAAACATCTGCATCAAATCTTGAAGAACCACAGTTACAGTAAGTAACTGTTTCTTCTTCAAATAGATGCAGCCATGTATTCCCTTTAGGTGACTCACAAGCAGTACTCCCACGGCACTGGGCTCGGAGTCTAGCTAAACAAGGACCAAAGGACTGCCTTCCCAAAGTTTGCATCTGCTCTGGATGCCACGGTAGTGGCGTCATGGTTTGTAAACATATGTATCGACAACCATGCATTAGTCCTGCAAATATCCAACAGCAAGATGTCACTTAATAACGCTATTGACATAGCTTGTGCTCTTGTAGAATATTCTCGCTCCTGTAGCGGGTGTGTAGCCAAAGCCATTTGAAGGACATAAATCCACACTGTGTAGAGGTCAAAGCATAGGGGTTTATTACACACAGCGCTGGCGGAGTGTCACCTGGCTTATTAGGCTCAGAGACACTGTCAATCAATTGATTACAATGAAGTATATAGATTTTCCATGGGCGGGGGAAAGTGACGGGGTAGGCAGTTCCACACCCCAGGATAGGTTTTGCAGCAAGACAAGATAGCACATTAGCCAATGGTTAAAAGGTTACATAATGTCTCCGCCCATGGTCTCAAATTAGCAAGTTAACATTTAATTAATACTTTGATAAAATGTTATTAATATAAAATATATATGTTGAATTTTGATTTGGGGTCCATAGGAATGGAGCAACTCTTTTGATTGTCCGACAGGTACATATCTAGGGGATAAAGCAAAGAAACAGTGAAAGCATATGAAAATAGAGATTGTCTCCTTTATGTCTTAAGGCAGGGCATTGGTCCCTTGGAAGGGAGGTGGAAGGATGCCATATCATTATACTGACATGTGCCAATTTTCATAAACTCAAGGTTGGATCTGTGGGAAGACTGTTTTCCCTTCAGGAGAAACACAATAGGAACAGGGATCCTTTGTTCAATTTGAAACATTGGATGAAACATAATTATTCAGTTATTGCTTCAACATCTGGCATTTCTACTGACCAAGCAGATCTTAGCAAAGGCAATGTCATCTTGTTTACCCCAGCTTTCTCTTAGCTGATCACTATTAGCTAGGCCTCTGGTCTCCAGACCAAACTCTGGACTTTGGGTCTGAGAAAGAGCTGGCACAATCCATATACCAGGTTGTTATATAACATGCACATGGATTTTAACCCTTCACCATTCATATGCAGTCTTGATGCAGGAAGTTATCCACTTAGAAATCCTCTGTGAGGAGACTGCCTGTCCCTTCATACAGTCTGCATACAACATAAACAGATGAGGTGACACCAGAAAGGGTTTAGTCCTGTCCAGATAGAAGGCTAGAATCGTCTGGTGTCCAGTGTGTGAAGAGGCTGTTCCTCCTCTGGCAATGAATGCAGCTTAGGAAAAAATACAAGTAAATATACCACCTGGTTTCAGTTAAACGGAGAAACCACTTTAGATACATGAATGGATGAATGAAAGACTGAGAGCGCCGATAGATGCTATGCAAAATGCTGAGCTAAGCAAAAGGCCCGACCACTGAAGATGCAGCAAATACTCCAAGATGTCAAATACTCCAAGATACTAGCCAGCATCAGCTGAACTCTGCGGGCCATATTGAAAAACACTTCCCCTTTGCCGAATAGGCTTTCCTAGTAGAGGGTTTTCTACTACTGAGTAGGACCCTGTCAAACAACCACCAAGCATTTCTCTTCCTTATTCAACCACAGAGCAGCCACGCCATGAGATGTAGAGAGCTGAGCATGGGATGCAGAGTGTGACTGTGATTCTGCATGAGCAGGTCAGGATGGACAGGAAGGGATACCGGAGGCTGAATCGACAGTGTGAGGAGGTCGGAAAACCAGCACTGCTTTGGCCATGCCGAGGCAATGAAGATGAGTTTGGCCCCTTCTACTTTCAGCTTGAAGATGACCTGTGGAATGGTCGGAGTTTGAGGAAAAGTTCATAGAAGAGCCGACTGCCAGATGAAGTGGAAGGCATTGGTCACGGAGCCTGGACTGAGGTCCCCTTGAGAGCAGAACAGCCAGCATTTCCTGTTGACCCTTGTAGCAAACAGGTCGCTCGATGGGAAGCACCACGCTGCAAAGATGACTCGCAGAACACTGGGCTTCAAAGACCACTTGTCAATGCAGAACTGCCACAACCTGATCGCCTCTTGGCAGAGTACCCTGGAGTGTGCTACCCTTTGCCTGCTCACATACTACATTCCCGGCCCCAAGTATGCCAGTGCCAGAAGTGGTGTGGACCCCGAAGTCAGCAGCAGTACCAAAACAGCTGATGGTCCCGAGGTGAAGGATGGTGAAAGTCACCCTGGTAACATCTGCAGTGCCAGCTGCAATGGTGCTGAGAAGTTTCCTGGTGCCCAGGACTCTTGCACTGAGCCTGGTACTGGCCCTGTTTCCACAGACTATGGAAGGGGAAATACTGTCTGCAGTGCCAACAGACCCGAGGGTTCAGTGGCCCGTCCAGCCAACGGGGCTATAAACAATGCAGTCCTCGCCAAGTCCTGGACCAAAGGAGAGGTCAAGATGGAAAGTCAGAGGAGGATGGTAGCCACTTGGTACGATGCCAATATGAAAACAGTCGGTGCTGGCATCTCCCTCGTCAGTACCGAACTCAATAGATACCTCGGGGCCAGAACTGGAGTTGACGATACAGGTCTCTAATGCCCCTACTCAGTGCCGGGGAGCAGTTAGAGGCATCCGCACCATCCCATGCGCCGGCACTAACGCCATGCCAGTCCACACTGTTCCTGGGGGAGGAAGGAGAGTCCATGAGACCTGGAACAGTCTTAATTTGGTATTATGTGAACTTTTTCCTCAGCACACTCAACAGAGAATGGCTCCTTCTCCCCCCCCCCCCTTGCTTCAGAGCACGAGGCAGTAGCACTCTTGGATCTCAAGGGCGATGACCTCTGATCTGACAAGGCCCTCAGTGCTGAAGCAGGCCACGTGGCCTGTTTGCTTAAAACAGCACATGTTCAAAGTTCCCTATCCACCTGAGTGCGTCTCATGAACAATCTACAGACCGAACACTGCTCCTTGACATGGCCTCACCCAAGCACAGCAAAGACTGTATGTGGGGATCATTATTAGGAATCGCTCCCACACACAACAGGCAATGTGTAAACCCTGGTGAGGGCATCACAGGGGAATACTTAACTACATACAACTAACACTAATCTAAGGTTATGACTAATTACATACAACTAGAAAAAACACTAAATTAGTGACAGAGTGTGAGGTTAAGACCACACACAGCTCCAACTCCAGCCATGGGTAGTAAGAAGGCTCTGAGGGGGGTTGGAATGGTGCCGCCACACATAACCAGGTGAGGGACTATGGCTGCAAGGCGCAAGTGGTGCCCCTCTATTGCTCCTGCTAGGCAAAATTCTCCAGCTCCAGTGGCCTGGGCACACTCACACCTAAGTGAAATACATCACTGCAGCTACTCTAAGAAGAACCCCAAGTTTACGCATGACATCATTTGCAAATATTTTCATATTTGTCTTTCTACTTTGAAATCTAAGGGTAGGAGTGCCTTCCTTCCCTTCACCCACTCTTCCCTTTCCATCCATCTTGTATCCTAGGTTGGGCACCCCTTCACTCTACCCCTTCTCCAACATACTTTTACTGTGCTACTCTTGCTTCAATCATCTTGCTGTTTTCAGTGGATGGGCAGCGTCCTCTTTTGATAGTTAACTGACGTTTTCAGGAAGCGTGGCCTTGAGTTGAGCTTTAGGAAGAAGGATAGCCGGATGTCAGCTCCGTAACCAATCAAAACAGTAGCAGCTGCCTTGATAAGTTTCTGGCCTTGCTATTGTAATGTTTTGGTCTAGGTATTATTTAGCATTTGTAAACATTCATGTGGATATTGTTGGGATGAAACAGACAGCCAAGTTGTGAATGCTCACTTAAATTTGTAATATCTGATTGAATAACTCATAACCGTATTTTGTTCCTAGGACTTAGAAGAATTTTGCTTCAGGTTTTGTATAAACCACTTGACTGTGGTTACACAAACGACAGGCTTTGCAGAAATGGACCATGACCTCTTGAAGAATTTCATTAGCAAAGCAAGCAGAGTAGGAGCATTTAAAAACTGAAGAATGCTTGCTGCAAAGGAAGATACTTTCATCATGGGAACACTTCCCCTTTGAAAAACTTATCAGCACTCAGAATGCCTGAAAGAAAAGAGGACAACATCCAGTAAAGTCAGTGTCACTGTTGATGGGCGGATTTAGTAAGCTTCCAGGTAACCTAATGCACAAGCTTTGTGAAGATGGGTATGGTATAGAAAAAACAATAGATATAAACAATCTGCCAACAACTTAGGTTTAAAAAAAAATCCTAATGGAATAATTAAGTTTTCCGTTAAAATCAAGTGGACTGGTCACTGTCTTCCATTTGTATTCCTTGTTTTCTTCCTTGAAATATTTTCAAAAAACAGTTCTTTAACATCTTCATCTGAGTTTACTGGATAGCATGAAGCTGGCTGTTGCTAAAGCTTTATTATGCACCTTTAAGGTCAATCAAAGTAAATGTGCTACAAGAAGGTTCCTTTCTGGTTAATTTCTCACACCCTCTAGAGAAGTGTTGAGATAGATGCTTGTTTTGCTAACGATAGGCTAAAGGGATATATCATACAAATCCCTCTTAAACGAGCCCCTAATGTAAAGAAAAAGCCACAGAATGGATACTTTGTAAATTAGGAGCAGCAAAGGCTCAAGAGGAGACTATGCTGAATTTATTTAAGTATGAAGGACTTATTTTAAAGGGCTAGTTTTGAGTTCTTGGCTCTTAAAGTCATTTTCTCAGATGAAAAAGAATTGGTTATTTTCCCCAGGGACTTTACCTCACCTTTCCAGTGGAACAGTAACTTCTAATTGGTTTTGTCACATAATGAGTTATTTCACTGTTAGTTTTGCTGCTCAGAAACACACCTCTTCACCTGCCATGAAAAAGAAACTCAACAAAAAGGAATTATCAGTTGACTTTTCTACTGGTGTTTACAGATAAGACAGGTGCTTGACATGAATTATGTGTGGGGGAGGAGGGATAGGGAAAGTTATAAATCAATTCAATGATTAAATCATGAAAATTAAACTCAAAGTCTTTTCAAGTGGTAACCAGGTGCCATTCAAACACTTGCTAAAGCAATAGGTGGAGGAGGTTTCAGTATGCTAATGCTTGCGTGGAAAGACTTTTGCACTGTGATACAGGATGTTGAGATTATAAAATATTTATCAGTTTTGGTTTCTGTTATGATACAGAAGACTAATTTGCGTGTAAATTACTTAATCTAATTTCTGTTAAAAGAATAGGTGAACTGGCTTCAAAAACTGATGAGCCAGTGGTTAGGACACCACCCTAGCCTTGCTCTGTCATAGACTTCCTGTGTGCCCTTAGGCACGTCTACACAGCAGCTGGGAGATGTAATTCCTAGTTCTGGATCCATACAGCTGCTAGCTCTGCTCCAGTTAGCACCTAAAAATTGCAGTGTGACCATCCTGGTGTTACCCCAAAAACAGACCCACGGTACCACCAGAATAGCTTATCTATTGCCCCCTCCTGGGTTTAGCAGAGGTTCCCTTCCAGGTAGCCTCCTAACTTATTACTCTGTTTCTGCAGGGTGAAAGGGGACCCGGCCTAGAGGAATTACTCAGGTTTACTAGCAGTGCCTCTTTAGAAAAACTCCCCAGAATATCTTAGACCAGTTACCCTTGGGAGGACTCGGATACAGCCTTCCAATAGAATTGCTAGATACACAGGCAGTACTTTTCCAAAACAAAGTATCTTTTATTACAGTAGCACACTGATGATCCCTGGCTACAATGTAATCTAAGCATAAAGCTCTGGAAATAAATCCCTTAACACAATTTCTTAATACAGATTTAAAAATATCCCAACTGCAATGTCATACAATTAGAACAGTATTAAATGTTGCACTCTGCATACGGTGATCAACCATGTGCAGTCGCTGACAGCAATCTTAAATCTTCAACTTTATACATCTAAAACAATGTAACATTCATAACACACACCTTTATTAACCCAGACATACATACACAGGCTCATTAATACTATTTCTGTTCTGTATTTGCACTATACCTAGCACGCTTACTCGCTGTAGGCAGCTTTCCCTCTGCTCTCTCAGGGTCCATTCTGTTCTATAGTGCTACCAATATAGTTACACGGATAGCTCAGTTGTTTGAGCATTGGCCTGCTAAACCCAGGGTTGTGAGCTCAACCCTTGAGAGGGCCACTTAGGGATCTGGGGCAAAATCAGTACTTGGTCCTGCCTAGTGAAGGCAGGGGGCTGGACTTGATGACCTTTCAGGGGCCCTTCCAGTTCTAGGAGATTGGATATCTCCATTTATTATTATTATAATTCTTCACCAATTTTTAGCTAATGGTGGCAAAGTGATGTTTTTAGTGCTGTGCTTAGGAAACAGAAGAGAGCTGCTCAAAAATCTCTAGTATCACTGGAATGAGCAGTGGCTTGGGCTAGTCATCTAAGAATAAGCCTACCCATGCCCCTGGGTACGTACTTGGCTAGCTAGCCTGAGCTGCTGTGGCCACAGTTATTTTTAGGCACTAGCTCACGCAGAGCATGTACAGCTAACAAAGCTGGAAATAACATCTCCCAACTGCTGGGTACAGGTACCCTTAGTCTATGTCTCAGTTCTGCCTCTGTCAAAAGGGGATAATAGCACTTCCCTACCTCAATTTCCTGTGAAATGAAAATTTGGGCATCTGCACTCTACTAAATAGTCTGCATTCAGCGACTAAGGAAACAAGGATGCATTTGTAGATGAGGCTGACAGGAAAACCAATTCTTAGCAGTGTCTATCACCCTTTAGTCTCTTAGCCATGAGCATTATTTCAGTTCATGCTGTGCACACCAAAGCTTGGGCTGGTTTTTTTCAGGCAGCTTTTTATTTTTGTAGTAGTAACCATGTGGGACTAACTCTTTGAGAGAACTTCTCTTCAGTGATGTCGGTTTTGAAGATAAAATGCAGACATCTTGGTTTGTTCATTCAATGAGGATTTTATGCATTTAATTCTTGACCCGGACAATTTAATAGTATATTTATACACTGCTATAGGCACATGTAGTAAAAATATATTTATTTAGCTTTCATTCACATTACTCATTAAACAGCAACACAAGATACTTTCCTTTGCACTTAAAGGTCCAGCCTTCAGAAGTGCACTGACTTGATGGTTGGAAACCAAAATGTGTGTGTGTTTATACAGGTGCATGCTTGAACAGCAATGTGAGGACACTAAATCCAGCCTGGGCGGTAACGGTTTTATATTTTTTTGTTTTTGACGATTGAGGATGCTGCCACCACCACTGCTCTTGATCTTGGAATTGGATCAGTTGTTAGCCAGTATTAAATGTGTTTCCGGAGACTCCAGTTCAGACAGCAATGAAAAAATATTTGTAGACACTGGGGTCTGTAATCCTAGACAGGTGAGGTATTCATTCGAAAACTTGACTGATGGCCTAAAATATCCTTGGACAGCTGAACAAGAGACTCCTCCAACTAACCACTGGGGAAAACAGGTAAATAAATATTTCTTGAATTAAATGGAACTTAAAAGGAATAAAAGTAAACTACTACAATAAAGGGGCTATCACAGTGATTGATGTTAGTAGGTTCAGCCTCATGGTATTTTCTAGGACCCACCTTTGGAATGATGGAGCTTTATTACAAAGCATGTTCACTGTGTAAATTGCTGTAGTATATAAATGCTTTTTATATAAACTGAAGATAATTGTTTCCTTGGGATTACTTTGTAAAATAAAACCTTTATCCATTAGCATGACAAATTTTGCTTGACCTCTAAGGATGTATAATGTTCGTAGCCCTACCATAATAAAATATCCAGCCAACTTCAGATTTCTGTAAAAACTCATATGGCTTAATAGACAACTAATAAAACGGTTATATTTAAGATCTTAGCCTTTGACCTGTTTACTTTTTATTACAATCTAAAGCCTACATCGAATTGCTTCGACCATTCTTAAACAGCTGTTTATTACTTCCTTATTAGCATGTTGTGGGGATGAGGGGAGAGAAATAGGTAACTTACAGGATAAAGATTATAGTTTAAAGACCACAGTCTTTTTCTAAGGGCTCATTTGCATGTGGCAAGCTGGGGTGAAAATCTACCCATGCACTAGCCTGCACTAGAAGTTCCATAGTGCCCTTTGAACTACTCCTCTTTCAAAGCGGGGTAGGATCACTGAGTGCTACAGAACTTTAGTACCCAGCAGCAGGCTAGGGAGGGGTAGATTTATAGCCCAGCTTCCAGGGCGGTGGGAGGGGGGGAAATGACTAAGTGTTTGTATAGACAAGCCTTTAAAGAAATGACTGTTAGACTCATAAGCAGCAATAAAACCAATGTCTGCACAAAAATGGGGGGAATTTGACAGGAAAACAGATTTCAAGCCTTTCAAAGAAGTTAATGCAGTAGTGAAAAAGAGTGATTGCAACTAGATGAAATGCCTTCTGTGTTTTTGACATACCACTTCTGCTTGATAAAGAAGGGGTTTTTTTTTTTTTCCCAGGATACCTGTATAAACTAAACTTGTTACATTTTAAAATATTCAGACTGTATCGTTGCTGGTTTCCTACAACAACACAACCTTCTACAGGTTTCCCACCGTTTCATGCACTTTTATAATTGGTTTCTTTCTTGGCCTGCAAATAACTGCAGTAGCTCTCACAGACTGCTGTGCACATGCTTACTTAGACTTGTCTAGAGTACCAGTGTTTTGGAAATACAAAATTCTTCATGTATAGATTTACATGAAAGAGCTGAAGTTGAAGAGGAGCATAAATAACTGAATACAGTTTTTTATATTCTTTTTCAGTAATAGTTAATCAGAGAAGTTACTCTGACCTTTAAAACACATCGTATCAGGAAATAAGAGGCCATAAGGAAGGGACCCAGACATGGTTAAAACTGCAGAGAGAAAAGGTCTCTAGTACTATTGTTTGTCCAACTTTGGATCCTTTTCCCTTTCTGGAATAAAATTTCGAAAACACTAGATCATTTTGAAGAGCTGTGTGTGAAGCAGTAATAAAAGTACTAATCTCAAATGTCATAAACTTTCAAAATCCTCTAATGGCAATTGGAGCATTTACTGTAACTCACCAGAAATATTAAATGTACTGCTTGGAAATTGTATCCTGACAGTTAATATGGTAGTTTCTGTAAACTGGAGATAAGATATTTTGCTGAAAACGTTTATATTTTTAGGTGAAGGTTTGGGTTAAAGCAGTCAGAAGAGTGACAAATTTTGCTTATAGCACCCAGGCGCAATTCAAAGTCACATGTACTGATTTTACAAACATTCTAGTCAGCACTGCAAAGCTAGCATAGCAACAAACTTTGTATCCAGTCAAACCTTACTGAGAAGATAGATAAGTTTTAAGCTCCAAGTGGCAGGGACCTAAGTTAGACATAGCAGAGCAACAACTGACAGATAGTCAGAGGGAGAGAAAATGAGGGCTACAGCAGTAAGAAACTTGTGAAATAACTTTCTATAATATACATCTTACTTGCTTTCTTTGTGGTTTGTGTGTGTTACTAGTTGGAAGGTGGAAAATCAGTTAAGAGGGTCAGAGTGGTAAAGTAGACAGAGCATTATTCCCATTCTACCTCCCATGTCATCAGCAGAACTTCCAATTAAATTGTAATTCCAGATTCTTTAGTTGGTGATGACGGAAGAAGCAGAAAGAGTAACCTGATTTTCAGGTGGAGTCTGCATTGTTTCATCTGAGGATGCACAATCTAGTGGGTAGGCCTAGACTGGGTAGCTGGAGACTTGAGTTCTCTTCCCATCTCTATCCCTGCCATTGACCAATTCTGTTTCACCAGTGTGCATCATGGTCCCCTCCTGCCCCTTGTCTTGTCTATTTAGATTGTAAGTTCCTCAAAGCAGCAACTGTATATATTCGTACAGTGTCTAACACAAGGGGGTCCTGATCTTCATTGGGGCCTTGTGTGCTACTGTAATACAAATAACGATAATGCTGGGAGAAAATATAGTTAGCAAAATCTGAAATGAACTCAAACTGAGGGAACTAATGGAAGTTTTGTAGATGGCTAAGGGCCCAATTGTGTATTTAGAGCTAGATCCCTGCACATGTATAGAGCTTCACTGAAATCGATGGGACTCTGCTCACACCAGTTGTAGGATTGCAGCCTAAGCATGAAACAGAAGGCTGTTATTATGATACTTTCTTATTAACTTTATACCTAATAAAAAAGGAAGTTACAATGATCACCAATAAATCTTATTAAAGCTATTTTATTTATCTTGAAAGGAATGAAATCCATTAGTTGTACAATATGCAACCATACACTTTTAAATGTAGTCTTCAGTCTGCCTGAACAAAAAAAGTACATTGTCACAGTAGAGAAAGGATAGCCTGTCTAAGTACTGAACTCCGCAGTATACTACTCCTTGCAGTTCTCTAGCCAGCAAAGTTAAGATCTGGGCACTATTTGAACTGCAATTATGGAGCTTAAAGACAGTGTATCCCATTATTTGTAGTATATTTCACCTGTAAACTCTGCAAACAAAAAAAAAAAAATAGGCAAAGAAACCTAAGATACTAACACTTCTGTACATACTTAAGGAAGTTGAAACCATATTCAGACTTAAAACTTAAGGTAACTGTTTTATTTCAAAGTTCATCAAAATATTTCCAAATCAATATACTGTTGTACAGTTTTTAAAAATTGCTCTACAATTAGATTTTGACTGACAAAAACTGATCTTTAAAAAACCAGATGACACTACCAAAAGTATTTTCTATTTTCAACGAAGAGATTTCCAAATAAGTTACCCACACAAGATTTTTTTAAAAACATGTTTCTGTGTAATAAAAGCCAGGTGCTTTTTTTCTACTGTATCTACTTTAATTTAAGCAGTTGCACAAAACTAAATCTTCATTAAAATGAATGGATAATTCTAAAGGCAGCAGTCATGAGAAAGCTCTGCTCGAGCTGTTCTTTAGACTGCTAGAAGTAAATTACTTTTTGATACCTTTATACTAGCAAAACACCCACAACTGAGTAGCTAATTTAAAAATGTATTTGTTTAGCAATAATTCAAGTAGCCTTAAAAGATGTGCCCTTTTATGGAGAGAGGGAGGACTTTGACCAAATTTTTCAGATCTGGATGCTTCACATGTTAAACTTGATCTAAATATGAATTTGGGTGCACTTTGGAACTCAGGCTATTCATTCTTAGGAGGCCAACTTGAAGCACACAGGTTTAAGTTACTAAAAGTCGGGTTCTGTTCCCATTTCTTGGCAAAATTTGAGTAAGCTAAATCATTGACTTCAGGCAAATCAGTATTTGTAGAGGTCATTGCAAGAAACTCCAGATTGGTAACAGTATGATTTCATTTCATGTGCATTTTTCTTATTTTTCAGGATCCAGAAATATCAGAAAGTGCATTTTGAGTGTTTTGTACTTGGGGGAAAAAACTCTGTCCCTGGAACACACTTACTCTCTGAGTAATTCATACTCAGTTAGGTTCAAACTAACAGATGACCAGCAGTGTAACTGTCCACTCAAACTGTGAGGGGAAAAAGTACTAGAAGATGTTAAGAACCTGAGGTATCTGTTATTTGTTTCAGTAGTATGGCTATGTGAGTTTACTTTACACCTTGTTTGCATGTTGTACTTACAATGGCAGGGCCTAATCCTGCAACAATTATGACTGCGTGCATAGTAAAGTTAATGGGCCTTAGCATGGTAATTCTACAGAGTCAGAAGTCGTTGCAGTATCTGGCCCCTAATTCACAAAATATGCAAATAGTGCATAAAATTCCAACATTAAAATGAAATCTAATGAACAAAAGAATTAGTGCATTTCAAATCATTCTATCTAACTTTATTTTTGATAGAAGAGTTCAAAATAAGTAGAATGAATTGGTATTAAATGAACAATGTTGCAATAGGAAGCTGAAAAACTCTTCCAAATCCTCAAAAATATATAAATTAATAAACTCAGTGGCTTACATTGTGTACATGCTACATCATACGGCATAATATAATGAAAAACACTGAAGTTAAAAAAAAAAAAAAAAGCCAAACATTTTAAACTAGCAATTGATCATAAAAAAGTAATTAACATGGTGGCTGAAAAAGAAAGACAAATGCAGAGAAGCATGCAGTGCACCGCATGGTCCTGAGAAGATGTTCACTTTTCTTCAGTGGCTGATGTATCAGTTCCATCATTTAGTTTTTGCTTTTGCATTCTTGTTCGAGTAGACGCTAGAGAAAAGTTACAGTAACTTTACCACCTTTTATAGTAAATCAACTTGTGCAAAACAGTTTTAAAGGGTATATTTATTCATGATACAAAGAATTTAACTTTTAGCCTGACAACTTTTCTAAACAAATTAAACCCTAATTTGAACCACAAGTACTCAAATATTTACTTCTGAATTACTTGGATAATTCTGACTTGCCAGTTTCTTTTACAGCCTTAAAGAACTGTGTACTTACATTGTACAGCTCTGTGTACTTATACTGGCTCCCATTACTGTAGTATTCAAACTCTTTATCTCTCCCTTTCCTGAGATAAAGCAGGTCAACTGAGCCCTATATGTGGGTCAAGTCCTTTTGTTGCTCAGAGATCGTTAATACCTCGATCAGAAGAGAGCTCTGCATTGGAAGCCTGACTCACCAACTTCCTCTAAAAGGAACTTTTCCAAAACTTCAGTGGCTAATAACCATACACTAATAAAAAGTAACTAGATATAATACTAGAACATCAACTCGTAAACTACAAACAGGACTGAACCAAATTTTAGTTCCCTACCCTAATTTAACAAAGAGATATGTAGAGGTGTTTGGTTCAGCAGACATACCTGTCTTAGAGAAGAAAATGTGATAGGTTAAACAACTTTTTGGTGGGGATAGGGGTGGGCATATCCACTGATTTATACACAAGATGTGACAAGCAGTGAAAAACTATACAGTTAAACCAATACGGAGAGCAGTGTTCTCAACCTGTACCCCTTTCTGGAGTCTGAAGCCCAAGCCTCACTGCCTGGGGCTGAATCATGTAACTTAGCTTCACGGGGCCCCGGGCAATTGCCCTGCTTGCCACCTCTTAATGCCGGCCCTGCACTTGCGACCCCCCTAAACCCATCCTGTGACCCCACCCTGGGGGTTGCAACCCCCAGGTTCAGAAACACTGATCTAGATCAGCAGTTCTCAAACTGTGGGTTGGGACCCCAAAGTGGGTCACAATCCTATTTTAATGGGGTTGCCAGAGCTGGAGTTAGACTTGCTGGGGCCCGGGGCCGAAGCCTGAGCCTCACCACCCAAGACTGAAGCTGAAACCTGGGTGGCGGGGCTCAGGTTACAGTTCCGCTACCTGGGGCGGTGGGGCTTGGGCTTCGGGCCCCCCACCCACGGTGGCAGCACTCAGGCTTTGACCACCCCTGGGGTGGTGGGGCTCAAGCGGGCTCAAGCTTCAGTCCCCACTCCTGGGGTCATGTAGTAATTGTTGTCAGAGGGGGATCATGGGTGTAATGAAGTTTGAGAACTCCTGATATAGATGAGTTGATGTACCCCCTGGAAGACCTCTGAGTAACCAGAGGTACTGGTTGAGAATGACTGGCTTAGAGGACTGACAAGATGTGGTCTCAAGAGGGAAAGTAATTTTGTTTTTAATTTGGTGGGTGAGAATTTTACTTGAAAAGCTGAAGGGAAACCTGTAAAAGAAGAAAGAAACATTGATCTGACTGCCTGTAACCACATCTAATGGAACATAAAATGTTTATTATAGCTGATCTGTGGTGTTTCAGTATTAAAACAAGGCAATGTACAAAACTATGCAAAATGCAGTCTTCTGTGCATATACAGTTAATGGAGCACATGCCTTCCAGGTACTGAAATCCAAAGTAGTTCACCTGTTCTCTTAGGTGCTGCTGTATCGGGATAATTCGTAGTAATTTAGTACAGGTGACTTTCCACTGGAAAATGTTTAGGAATACATCTCGATGTGACTGCTTTAAAAGGTGGACTTTAACACAGATTTCACCGCCTGGCTATATGACACAAGCAGGGATAGAAGACTGAAAAGATAAAGCACATTAAGGTGGAGCCTAAAGAGTACCACTCTACCAAAAGCTGCATCTGAGACCCGCCATCGAATGTAGCATGTAGCCACATAACTGGAAGGCTTCTGATCTTGAGTGTCGTCCTTTATCTTCTGAGGTGTGAGTCCTCTGTATGCATTTTTAATGTAGTTTAAGCCATTTGGAAATGGTGTCTTTATAGGCTTTCATGCTGCTGAGTCTGGGATTGAAACAGGATGAGACGCAAGCATTTTATCCACTGTTCTGTCCTTTTCAAGGGTATCATGAATCTTCTCCTGAGATCCAGTGTGCATAGCTGATTTTTTATTTTCATACTTGAAGTCAGTATTAAAAAAAATAGCTACTTTCTGGGATGAATTCTTCCTCTGTATTATTTTGTCCCTGTGGAATATGCAGTATAGCAGCTTGCTGGAGCATGCTATACAGCCCCAATCCTGCCAAGATAACAGGTCACTGATAGTTAAGAAGGTAATACCGTTGAGTGCCTGCAGCACTAAAATAAGGGTGGGATCTTCAAAAGTGTACCACATTGGCCTAACTGCTCCTATTGAATTTGAGGAATTGTACCATTCACTTCAATGGGAGCAGAGCTAGGCCAACTCTAAGCACTTTTGAAAATCCCACTCAAATCCCATCAGACATCTCATTTTAGGTCTAATGCTTTCAACAGGTATGTGAATATGATCTTCCAAAGAGGCCCTCTGGGAACAAAGGACTGAATACTAATGAAATCTGCACTTTAAGTACTATGCACCAGTTCCGGTGACTATGAGATGAAAGAGCTAATGGGATGTGAATTGCTTTATATCTGCAACCTCTCTACCAAAAACTGGAAAAGGTTCCAAATAAAAATGTAAGCCTTCAAGGATGATTCCTTCCGGGCCAATAGGAGTGTTCTCTTTTCCTGCCCAGCCTGTTTTCTTTATCTCTTCCTATTCAGAAGCATCATGGACTTTGTGTTCAACTTCTGAGAGAATGTTGAGAGAGTAGGTTATTCCTCCTTGATGACAAATGCAATATGGCCTGGGATGTCAGATATGTCAGCTCTGACAACTTCTGACTCATGATCCAGTGGAGAACAATCAACACTATACTGTCTTGTTTGATCTTCTATACCACTCTGGACAGTAGTGGAATTGGACAGAAGGTATAATAGGGAATTTGGATGACCAGTCCAAGGACAGAGATCCTCTCTCTGGAGAGGTTTTGCAACCTTTGCTGACTCTGAATACTATTTACTAAACGAAAAGGGACTATTTGTGTAAGTAAGTAACATTTGATTGAGTAAAAGGTGAAAAATCTGGCACTACAGTGGTATGCTGGTTTTCTGCAAAGGTGAAAGGTTATCTAGGATATTATTAGTTCGAAAGCTCAGGGTGCAGACACCATTTCCTGGGATCTCTGGTCTCCACAGATCCTGAGTCAAACTGAAGACGCTTCACTGACTGCCTCTGTATGATCTAATGATGAGAGAAAGTCTCTTCATAGACGGGGATGATGCCAAAATCAGTGTCCCTCTTTAGCTTTCCGTATTTTGTGCATTTGTTGAGTGCCTTGAGATTCAAAACATTTCTGATTTTTTCTAGATCTCTTTAGGCCCAGGATAAAGATGGAATATGTTTCAGAGAATCTCTCTTTAAAGAGCATTGGTTTGGCTGGTCTTATCAAGAGGACACAGTCTGATGCTGCCTGCATTGTCCGTTTCTCAGGGTTCTTTGTTGTCCTTAGTTGTATGAAGCAAATGTAGGGATTCCTCCAACTAACATTTTAATAATTTTTAAAGACCTATTGATCTGAAAACTTTTCTATATGAAAAAGATATATGCCCACCAAATGGAGAGTATACCTCTTGCTCAAGAGCATATTTTATGCAGTTCAATTTGTGAACTTCAAAGGTGGGTGTTTCAGGTCCTCATCTTCTGAAGGTTCTGTTTCCAAATGGACCTCTGGATGTTCCTTTAAACCTGTTGTAACTAAAAGCCTAAAAGGAGGGGCAACTTCGTTAAGTGTGTGTATGCCTACTTCCTTGAAATGGTGAATGAGTAGCATACAGTTATGTGCTTGGCAGCCGCATTACTGAAAAATCCTCTGAAGATCTCTCTCTTGGAAGCGAGCTGAGGCTACCAAGAGCATGGGTTGGTGCTTAGTTTTGCATACGCACTATCTTTCTGCTACACTGAAAATTACCGTGCACCTTTATTGAGAATATGATGATATCCATAGTAGCATGAAGAAAGATGATATCAAGATCTTGTTCAACAGTGCTTGTGCTCAAAGGTCCCTTGTGGAGTGGAGTTTCTTAAGTATTTTGTCAAGGTTGGCTTTGTTGAAGTGAATTGTTGAGATGGATCCTCAGGCTGCTTTCTATCTAAGTTTACAATTTCAGCATCCAGCAGCCTTTTACTTTCCACCCAATTCTGGGAAGGCGAATCCCCCTCTGTTGGGATGACAGATTTCTTTGTCTCAGCTGCCACTGCAGCCTGATTTTTTAGATATTTGTGCCATCTGTTGGTAGCTTGGCTATTAGTTGTAAAGTTTCATGATCTGCCTGTTTTGACATCTGCCCTTGGAAAGTTGGCCCAATGCTGAGTTGATTAAATCTCTTATGGCTATGTTGATTGTGAATTTAGAATGTCTTTTGTTAGTGGATCAGAAACATTTATATATCAGCAAAGGATGGTTCTGGCTTGGTCTTTTAATGGGGTTGTTTCCAAACTCAGTGCCAGTAGGTCTCCTTGAACCATAGTAGTAGAGTTCTTACTGGGACCCTTTGAGAGATGGAATTTCCAGGATCTCCCCTCGGGTTTTTTGGCCATCTTGTATTTCCTTGGTTGCAAGGAGCTTCAGTCACAAGATTTGTATAATTCAGTGTAATCTTTTGCTTCCCATTCTCTTTGGACTGACCCCAGCTTTCTTTTTTTTTAAATTATTTTCAGAAGGGTATTAAGGGATAATTCCAACTCGTCTTCAAATATCCAGCAGAGAACCTCAATGGGCATGCCTGAGAGAAGGGGATCAATGAGAAACTGAATATGGGCAAAATTCAGCTAGTGAAGGGAGGACTGAGCTTCTCTTAGGCAAGGGAGCCTCCTCCCTGCAACTTTCCCTTGGAAGGTATTTCTGTGATTAGTGGAGTACCACTACAGTAGCTCTGTGTCTCTCTGATGTGATAGCATTGCTGGGCAGTGGGTTTTTGTGTTTTGGTGGGTCTCCTGCTGCTTCTGGTCTCTCAAGGGGTCCAGCCACTTCCTAAACTTCTGCTCTTCATTTAGCTCATTCAGTTCCCAGTCCAACTGAGAAATCTGTGAGCAGAAGAGGCATCAGGTCCTGTAGAAGAAGAGGGCCCCAGACTGCAGATTGTCTCCATACTTTCTGCAAACATTTGCTCCAATACTCCAGCTAGAAGACATGCAAGTCTGTACTGGGAAGCAAGGGGGGACAGAAGATGAATCAAAGTAGAGCTATTGCTGGTGAAATTCCAAGATAGAATTTAGCAGATGGAAAGATGTTTTGAGATCCAATGCAAGTGCATCTGAAGAAGTGAGGTTCTTACCCACGAAAGCTTATGCTCCCAATACTTCTGTTAGTCTTAAAGGTGCCACAGGACCCTCTGTTGCTTTTTTCAGATTCAGACTAACACGGCTACCCCTCTGATACAAATCTCTACAATGGATCCAGACACTTGAAGGAACATAGATGGGGGTGGGCTCTCAAATGAAAGGGTCTCCCTACCTCCACTGACCAATGAAAGGGGAGCCAGACCACATGTAGGGATCACTGGACACATCCTATGTAAATTGTAGTAATTTTTAGGGGAGTGGGGCGTAGGAGTGGCAGCTTTCCTTACACAAAAATGATGTCATGGAAGGTGTTAGGGGTTTTTTGTGTGTGTTGTGGGGGGCCTGGAAGGGAGGCGGTAGTAGGGAGCAGTCGTACTCAAGAATTTCCACCAAATCTGCCTCCATACTAAAACCTTTTCCACCCTAGGGTGTTAACTGCAGTTGCCTCTGAGACAGCATTGCTACTGGACCATAAGGTAGCTGGAAACACTTGTTCACCAGAGCACCTCTGGTGGATTGTACTTTGGTTTTTGTACATGTATTTTATTTTTATTTTTGTGTATTATAGCATTTATTGGCAAAACCAACAGTTCCAAAAGAAACCAGCACAGCAACACTTATTTACCAGACTTTACAAAAACTGCTTAAGCACTACAAACACCATTGTTTAACATTCACTGTACTGAGCAGTTTATTTCTGGAACTAACTTAGAAAGATTAGATCAGTTACCAAATCAAGTTAAATGCAACTCTTTTGAGGTTAAGTGCAATTTTTATAACCGGTAAACCATGCTTACAGTTAAATAATTTAAGAGAGGCTAAACATCCGTTTTCACATTCAGTATTAAAGCTTTCAGTTCAATACTCTTTTATAGGTCAGACTCACACAAGTTGTCACAAACAACATCTGAAGGTCTGAAAAGAAAGTTAGCACTAATTCGGCTGTAACACAGTTATGTCTTGCCCTCAAGCCTCACCAAATCCCCCAGATATCTACCATGAGAGTTCTGTTGTGTCCCAGGGCAGTATATAGTATGATTCCTCCCTATCCTCTTCAAAAATGTGCCATACAACTCCATATAATAGATCCCAACTACAGACTGAGCATATACTATACATCTCTTAAGATCCCCTTTCTATCCAAAAGCAAATGATAAATTTACTACAACAAATCTTTTGCATATTACTTAGAACCGTATTAAGGGCAGTATTTATTTAGAAACCTTCAGTCTAAGAATGCCAATGTTTAAGAAAAATTTGTCATGTTCAGACACTATCTACAGGAAATGTCTATCTTACATGAGATCTAGGTCAGTTAGCACACTTGAAATGGTGGCCCAGTATTTCCATTTTAAACTACATTTTCAAGATCAGATGGAAACGCTGTAAGATTGAGTAAGTTAATAAATGTACCCAGTAATTCCTGCTGTTACTTAAATTATGTAGATGTTTAGCAAGGTTTTTATTCGGAGAAGTTGGCATGCAGGGAAACAACCTTTTTTATCCAAGACTGTCATTTCTACTCATTTACTACAGTAGACAATACTTACTCATTTCTGCAAGCTTTTGCTGGAATTTGGACTCTCCAGGAAGGTGTTTGCTGCGGACAGAAAACATTTCATTGAAGCAATTAGTATGTTCTTTTTATTTTTGTCTAAATAAAGCAAGTTACTAACTGTAGTTAGTTCACATCAGCACCGTCACCACCTCTTTCTGGTTTCTTGTAAAAAATGCAAACCCAGCCCTAGTATTTTTTTCTGCATACTAAAGCTGATTCAAGAGTTATTAGCTTTCTGATACTCAGTTTTATCTTCAAGTTTGCTAAGTTTGACCAAAGCCACTTGAGACAGTAGTTTAATATCCAATTCTGGTCTAGCACCCAGTACTGTACTTGCTGTCAGCAGGAGAGACACTTGCTCCTGACACTAGAGAGATTCAGATTCAAGAAGCACTAGGCTAAAATCTATCACTAAAGATTTTATATTATTCCATATATTAGGTAAAGAGAGGTAATATCTTTTATTGGATCAACTTCTGTTAGTGAGAGAGACAAGCTTTCGAGCTTACGCAGAGCTCTTCTTCAGGTCTGAGAAACAGAACAGGAAAATACTGAATTTTGACAACACAGCTACAATAACACTGCATACATACATTAGCTAAGACATAGTACCTCTGTATGATGGTAGCTTGTTTCCTTTGTTATTATTTTGCTAAACCTTATGTTATAGGCCTCCAGAAATAAAAGTACATGTAGCTTCATGACAAGTTAAGAACTATATCCTACCTTCCATCTGCCTCATCCTGTCCTTCTATATCAAAGCGAAGTCTCTTCAGAGGTTTAGGGGCAGTGCTTACTTCAGCACTGCGTTTCAGCTGACGATCACTGCTACCCACCATTTGGTTTATTTTCTGAAACTTCTCAGAAGTCTGGGATTACAAGAAGATCATAAAAATCATTCCCAGTTAACTATGTACATCTTCCAGACTACTAGCCAAAAATCAATTTTTCAGAGTTCTAGATATCTGCTGTCTTTTAAGAGCTCTTTAAAACTTTCCCAAACTACCCTAATATATAATGGAAGATTTTTTTTATAAATTCAGGCTATTTCAGAGATGCTAGCAAGTGCTCCAGCAATCTTTGTGTTTACAAATTCCACAACACACTCAACTAAAGCAGTGACACCGACCAGTTCTACAAAACAGAAAACTGCACATTCCTTCCAAATGTTTTTCTATATATATACAAGATTTGACATTCAAAAACTTACGCTCACCCCAAATGATTCACCAATTGACACCAGGATTCTGTCAAGACAAACAATAAGACAACCTTTAAAGATAAAGCCTTATTTATCAGTGAAAAGACAGAAACACTCACAAACTTGCACAATTTGGCATGAAACTAGTGAAGAGAACATATGCTTTCTAAGACATTGGCATATTAAACTAAAGAAATCGCTCCCTTATCTCTTAGCATAAAAATATGCTAAGCATTCAATGAGGGCAAAACATTCACCACAACTTTAACAATTTCTTCTTAAACGTTTACAATTCTAGACAGAACGAGGAAGTGCTGAACCACCAAATTAGAATCACCTTGAAGTGAACGTGGAAGAGAAATTGTGGAATTGGAGAGAATTAGAGGCCCGCTTAGTCCATCCCATGCTTTTTGACAGGAACACCCCCCTTCTCAGTAGGTGGGTAGCCCAGACATGCCCTTCCTTTGATCATTACCTTTAGATGTTTGCTAACCAAAATCATAGCAGGAGTTTAACCTAAAACATACAATGATATTTGTAACTTTTTCATGTCCATGCCCATGCAATCCTTGGCCTCTGTGCTGAGCCTGCCCACGAGGGGGCCTGTTGTGATGGTGTTCACTAGGCACTAGACTAAGACAACAAACTTATTTTGCAGAGGCCAAACAGCCAGAGTGTGGCAACGAATGATGTTCAATTGCTACCATCCTTGGCGGAATCAAAAACTAGTAGCATAAAGCTAGACTGCTGACCCATTACGAGTCCTCTGAGCCATCAGTGCACATGCTGGTTGCACTCAAGTAGTTCACATTTTACATGAATATGATATACATAGACAGTGAAAATATATATCAAATCAAATGCGGCACATCTAAGAAGCGATGTTTCTATTTCATACCAAATCCATCTTCCAGTGGATTGGTTACAAACTAAAAGGCCTCATTCTAAGTAAAGGTTGCAAAATAGGGCTCAAACTTTGGACCAAAAGAAAGAGCTATAGCCATTGATATCTAACAAAATCACAGTGTATAATTTCCTAACTTGCTTGAATTAAATACTTATTTGTTACTGTCACCTGCTCAGAGAATTGTTTATTACCAACCTGGATCTTGGAGTCATCTTTGTGGGTGACAACATGCCTTCAGAGAATTTGTATGGACTCTTCAAGGGTGAGATGTAGATGTTATTTCCAGCAGGGACACGTAGGGGAGAATTAGAAAACTTGTAAGGACTTCGAGGAATGTGGGGGATAGGTGACAAGGTGGGAGGCTATGACGAAAGAGTAAGTAGGATATTTAATCATTACAATATAATATTTGAAGTCAGTGAACTGATTAACTTTCAGCACAACAAATATATAGGAGATCAACAACTCACCCTATTGGAGGCATACTGCAAAATGTTAGTTTTCAGTTTCTGCATAAACACTAAGTTGTAGAAGACGATAATGGAGTCATATTGTCCTTCCCTGATCAGCACTCGTTTGAAAGTCTACAAAGGGTTAAAAATTATATATTAAAAATAATCTTAAATTTGAATTTCAGTCCAGTTCCCACAACATGCACCATTTATTTAAATTAGCACTGGCTAATAGTTAAGGGTGTTTGTGTCTTGTGTGCTAGCTGACAGCACTGCTGCTTAGGGCTTTTCTACACTCAGTTTTTGCAGATTTAAGTAAATCGGTAGAAATACTGACATAGTGACCTTGGACCCCCTAATCAGACACAGTTATACCAATATTAATGTGTTTGTATCAGAAGAACTGCATTCACAGTCACGAGCTGCACCAATTTAATGGAATTGGTTTTTCTACCAATTTAGTTACCTCAGTGCAAACACTTAGGCTTTGTCTTCACTTGGAGCAAGGGGTGCGATTCCCAGTTCACGAACACATACTCACACTAGCTCGCGTCAAGTTAGCATGCTAAAAATAGCAGTGTAGCCATGGTAGCACAGGCAACGGCGGCACAGGATAGCCACCCTGAGTACATACCCACAGGTTTGTACTCAGGATGGCTAGCCCATACTGCGGCTTGCCACTGCCTGTGCTACTGTGGTGACACTACTATTTTTAGCATACTACCTCGATGAGAGGTAGTGTGAGAACGTGTATGTGAGCTGTGAATCTCACTTCTAGTTCCAAGTACCCTCAGCGCAGACTAGCCCGTAAAGGCAAAGGGAATTTCTTTATGTCTGATGCTGGAACCATGAAACTCAAGTATGAGAATCTTCTCTGTATGGTATCGTTAAAGAATTTTCATTTGTATTTTAAAATATGAAGAAGTTTTTTTTAGACAATCAGGTTTTTTAAATAAATTTACAGTGAAACCTGTGTGATAGCCCACTTGGCCACAGCAACCACCCAAAGGTAACCCTTAGCATGTTACAGCCCCAATTCAGCAAAACACATAAGCATGTGCTTACATCCCACTTGCTATAATTCTGACTGAAATCAATGGGACTTAAGCACATCCATAAATTATTAGAATAATCAGAACTTAAATAATCATCTTTCCAACCTCACCAACTGGCTCCCACCTACAGCAACACCCTATTCTAAAAGACCAATTTATCTGCTCTTAACATCAGTGTTCATAGGGCCACATGCTGCATACACACAGTTCATGAACAGGAAACAGTACACCTTGCATAGTTCTGTGCATTCTTTTAAGTTTTCCACTGAAACATCCAGCAGTTTAATATAACAAACCTTACATTTTTATTTCACTTACATCTAAGGCAATTAGTGGACAACTGCCTTGGCTATAAGTGACTTTTCATAAATAAAAAAATCTTTAAATATTTATATTTTAAACTCTTTGAACCAATGAAATAATCTTTGCTATCAGATAAGTCTGATTTAATGTATTGGATTCCCTTTAGCTGTTCAAATAAGGTTCTCAATCACATTTTAGTGAAAGACCCACCTCCCCTAAAACACCCCTTTGTTGGTTACTCAAGTAGTCATTTAGACAGGTTTAACCATACTGTTGTTCTGTTAAAGAAGACACAGACACATTTTGAGCAATATTGCTTATTTGGGGCTAAATGCTGCTCTGTTTGTTCACCGCAGTAGTCCCATGGACCTCGATGGAATTATTTCCAGAAGTAAGAAGAGCAAGATGTGGCCACTAAACAGAACAGAGTACGTACAGAAAACAAAGATTTTAAAACTGAAAATATTGCAAAAATAGTTCACTCTTTTGTAACAAAAAATATAACAATCACCATACTTGGATTTGTGCTATCAAATGACAGCTGATAGCATCAGCTAATTTAGGCAAACATTTGCTCTTTGAGATGCAATGTAATCTGGTGGCTAGAGCACAGGAGAAGGCTGCAGAATCCCCTGAGTTCTAATCACAGTTTCACCACTGACTGTTAATGTGGACAAGCCACTTCACCTGTTTGTTTCAACGCTTTGAAGATGTAAAGCACCGCATAAGTACTTATGATTACAGACTAAAACTACAGTAAAGGACTGTCAAGATTGAATTCAAAAGGTAGGAAATGCTAGAATTAAGTTTGCCCATGCATCCTTATTTAGGCCCTCATGTGCATGTGTATTATGAACAGAGGACCAGATTTACAAATACATTTAGTACCTAAAGTTACATATAGACACCTAACGGGATTTTCAAAAGCACTTCAACATGCTAGGCACTAATCTTCCAATGGGAGTTTAGTGCCTGCCTTACCTGCTTGGGTACTTTTGAAAATTCTGCCAGGTGTGTATTTGCCTTTATAGGCACCTAAATATCTTTGTAAATCTGACCACTAGTCTTTAATTTACATAATCACACTCTATTTTTTTCACAGGATGAGTATCTTTAATAAAAACTATGGTTTGCTTCTTTGAGGAGAGTTATCAAAATAAATGTGTTTGCCACATACTTTTGTGTGACCTTGGTAAGTCATTTAACCTCTGAGTGTCAGTTCCCTCGTAGGTAGAATGAAGATGACACACTGGACTTGGAGATCCTTGGAGGGACATGCGCAACGTTATAACAAATGTTTATGGATGACTCTTCTTCAGCTATCCCTCGATGCGAGGATGATGTCTGCCAAGGGAGTTCATTGGTGGGTTTTTAAGTGGCTGAGGAGCCCAATTCGTGCCCTGCAGATTTTCCCACAGAAGTGACCAGTGTAATCTTGGAGACGACAGTTGTTGGCTGGACTGTTGTGCCCTTTCCCCCCTCCTTTGTCACTTCTCTGTCTCATGAGCACGTCTGTTCTCCTCAAAGTGAGCAGTGGTGCCTCTGTGTTCTGTTCTGTGTCGAGTCCTCTCAGTTTGTTGGGTTGATGCCACCCTTTTTAAGGTGTACTTTCAGTATGTCTTTGAAATGCTTCCGCTGCTCTCTGCGAGTCCTTCTTACCTTCTTTAACCGAGAGAAGAGTACTTGCTTCAGGAGGTGAGTGTCAGGCCTACGTTCACAGTGGCCAGCCCAGTGGAGTTGGTGTTTCATGACCTGCCCTTCTATACTGCTGATGTTGACTGCAGAGAGAACGCTAATGTTAGTGCGTCGGTCCTCCCAGCTGATCCTGGAAATCCTCGTGAGGCAGCGCTGTTGGAAACATTCCAGCCACTTAATATGTCATCTATAGGTTACCCAGGTCTCACACACATAGAGAAGAGTGGGGATGACAACTGCTTTGTAAACCAAGATCTTGGTGCCTGTTTAGAGATCCCTATAATTGAAGACTCGTTTGAGTAGTCTTCCAAAGGATGTGCTGGCACAGCCGATTATGTATACAATTTCTGTGTCAATGCTGGCTATTTGGGAGATGTGGCTGCCAAGGTATGGAAAATGGTCCACATTTTCCAGGGGTTCTCCGCTGATGGTGATTTGTGTAGTACGAAGAGTAGTTTGTGCAGGTGAGGGCTGGTAGAGTACCTTGGTTTTCCCAACATTGAGAGAGAGAGATCCAGATAGGCATCTGCAAAAACATTTAAGGTACTTTGCAGGTCGGCCTCTGTGTGTGTGAGAATGACACAGTCATCTGCATACTGAAGGTCAGTGATGCTGATTCTCGTGATCTTAGAGTTTGGAGGCGTCTGAGATTATCATAGATTTATCATAGAATATCAGGGTTGGACGGGACCTCAGGAGGTCATCTAATCCAACCCCCTGCTCAAAGCAGGACCAATCCCCAGACAGATTTTTGCCCTAAATGACCCTCTCAAGGATTGAACTCATAACCCTGGGTTTAGCAGGCCAATGCTCAAACCACTGAGCTAGGAGTTGACCATCCATATGATACTCAATCCCGATTCCACCAGGAAGGCAGTCACGGATGAGAATCAGGATCACAGCAAGGTAAATGGAGAAGAGTGTTGGAGCAATGACACAGCCCTGCTTGACACCAGTGCGAATGATGAATGGTTCAGTCTCTGAGCCGTTGCACAGAATGGTGGCAGTCATCCCATCATGGAGTAGTCTGATGATGGAAATGAATTTCTGTGGACAGCCAAACCTACACAGCATCTTCCATAGGGCATTACAATTGGTAGAGTCAAAGGCCTTGGTTAGATCAATGAATGCCATGAACAGTTCCTGGTGTTGCTCTCTATGTTTGTCCTGAATCTGTCATGCCACAAAGATCACGTCAGTTGTGCCTCAGGATGGCCTGAAGCCACACTGTGATTCAGGGAGGAGTTCCTCAGCAAGGGGGAGAAGGTGGTTTAGTAGGATCCAGACAAGGATCTGCCCTGCAATGGAGAGGAGGACAATACCTCTGTAGCTCCTGCACAAAGATCTCAGCACAGTGAATGCCCAGAAAGAAGAACTGCCATAATTGCCAGAGAACTGGCAAGACGCAACATTGACATTGCAGCTCTTAGTGAGACCTGCTGGGGTGATGAGGGCCAATTTAAAGAGGATGGTGGTCGCTACACCTTCTTTTGGAAAGGAAAGCCACCTGAAGAGAGACACATTCATGGGATTGGCTTTGTCATCAAAAATAAGATCACCAGTCAGCTTTTGGAGCTTCCCATGGGGATTAACGAGCATCTCTTGACTCGGCTCAAGCTCAGCAACACCAATATGCCACGGTCATCAGTGCATATATCCCAACACTTGATGATGAGGAAGACAACAAGGAGCAGTTTCATAGTGCTCTCGATGCAATCCTCACAGCCACACCTAAGTCAGACAAACTCATCCTCCTGGAAGATTTCAATGCCCGAGTCAGATGGGACTCCCAACTCTGGAGCAGCACAATAGGCAAAGAAGGGCTGGCAAATGTAAACCCCAATTGTATTCTCCTCCCCAGCAAATGTGTGGAACATGACCTGCTCATCACAGATACCATTTTTAGGCAGAGTAACAAATATACCACCTGGAAACATCCTCAGTCCAAACATTGGCACTTCCTTGACTATGTTATAGTCAGAACCCGAGATTATGCCGATGTCCGTATCACACGAGCCAGGAGAGGTACAGATCACTGTTGGACAGACCATCAATTAGTAAGATCAATCATGTACCTGCAGCTCACTCCACCACACCGCAAACACCCAAAGACTAAGCAAAAGTGGTACAACGTCAAAGCACTTCAAGACCAAGCCAGCTGTGAGATGTTCCAGCAACACCTGTCTGAGAAACTCTCTAACTTGCCTGGTAACATCATTGATATTCAAGAGCACTGGGATCAACTTAAAAATACCATTCACAGTGCATGTGCTGAAACTATAGGATATTCCACTAATCGGCACCAAGACTAGTTTGATGAAAACAATGAGAAAATCCTAGCATTAATTCAACAGAAAAGAACTGCATTTTGTAACTGGCAAGATAATTCCTCTAAACAACGAAAACATGAGGCTTATCACCTGCTCAAAGCTGAAGTCCAGAGGAGGCTATGTGACATCAAAAATAAGTGGTGGCAAGAGAAGACCTCTGAGATCCAGGGTTTCGTAGACCAGGATGACATGAAAAGCTTCTTTCAAGCAACAAAGGCCAGGCTCCAAAGGCCCAACCCCTTTACGTTCCCAGGGTGGCTTCACCCTCCTCAAGGACAATGCGGCCATTAAACAACGCTGGAAGGAGCACTTTGAGAGCCTACTAAGCCGTGAATCCATGGTATCTGAAGACACCATACAGCAGTGGTGGGCAACCTGTGGCCCATCAGGGTAAACTGATTGTGGCCCACGAGACATTTTGCGGACGTTGACCATCCGCAGGCACGGCCCCCCACGGCAACCAGTGGCCGCAGTTCGCTGTTCCCAGCCAATGGGAGCTGCAGGAAGCGGTGGGCCACAGGGACATGCTGGCCGCCGCTTCCTGCAGCTCCCATTGGCTGGGAACAGCAAACCGCGGCCATTGGGAGCCGCAAAATGTCTCGAGGCCCACAGTCAGCTTACCCTGCTGGGCCACAGATTGCCCACCACTGCCATAGTCTATATTCCACAACGCTCAGCAATGGAACACCTTGCTGATCCCCCATCTTCTGAGGAAGTCCGGCGTGCCATCACTTAGAAAAAAAATGACTCAGACAGCATCTCAGCTGAGGTTTTTAAAGCTGGTGGAACAATGCTCCAGCACAAACTTTGCCAACTCCTCAACAAAATGTGGACCTGCGAAGAAATTCCACCTGACTTTAAAAACGCCATTGTTACAATATTCATGGATGACTAATACTTAAAGATTTTACATACCTCTTGATTTGTATTGGTGAGCTCCTTGTATGCTGTAACAATGATTTTAAACCTAAGATCTACGTTCTTTACTTTGCATATGCCATACATGGAACACATCATGATCTATTAAAGAAACAACAAGAAGAATCAGAAATGCAGCAAATGTTGTTATACTTCAGATTGAGAAAGCACCTTTCCCCCCTCCCCTATATTCTTACATGTTTTTCTATTTACATGGGGTGCAGTCCAGCTACATGGAGGTCAATGAGAGTTTTGCCATTGACTTCAGTGAAGTCAGGATTGGTTACTAGAAATGAAGGTGAAGATCAGTAGCTCTAGGATTCCTATACTGAGCTAAATCAATTATCTACATGTCATTCCATCCCATACCAATCCTTGGAGGAGAAAACAAAAACAAAAAAGGCAAACCAATGTCCCCTTCTTTTTGCAAAAAAGTTCACTAAACAAAAATGGTAATATTTTTCAAGTTCACATTTAGATACAGTATAAAGCTGAAATTTTAGGGTAGAAAGACAAAATGTGGATTAGTTAGTATTGACTTCCCTGGGCAAAATTAATGTATTCACAGTAAACTTCGGCCTTTACTCACTACTTTTCAGATTTTTTTGATGACACATGCTATGCCTTTGACGTTACAGCATAAATAACTTTCAGTAGTTAAAAGTAAATTGAGGCCTTCTTAAATACATCAGTTCACTGTATTAAACTAATTTCTGCTTTGAATAATCTGCCTCTTGTGGGAAATAAAAACCTCATACCAGAATTTAACAGATGAAAAACTGAAAAGCAACATTTTGCTGAAAAGCAAATATAAATCTCATTGATTTATATTACCTGGTCTAAGTGCCTGTCTTTCATAAGTTCATATTCATTTTGCAATGTGTGCTGAAAAAGGGTCCAGATCAAGTGTTCTAGTTCAGGGTGGTCAAACAGAAGCCGTAAGCAGAGGGTATTTAATCGAAGATATGCCAGCCGATACACTTGAGAGAAGGAAGAAAAATTAATCACATTGGTAATAGAGAAACTTGTATAGGCCACTGTTCAGAGTGCCTGCCTTTAATTGCTGTATCAGAGGGTGAGTGACTTCTCTAGCAGGTAGAGTTTCTCTTTAGCTCAAGTAGGGATGGCTCATGCTTTTAGCAAAGGAGTCCCAGATTTAGTCTTCAGTAATGACCCATGATGTCAGAAGCATATGCCAGAAGAAGACACATGGTGGAGATGATTTCCTTTTGCAAAGCGCATGATCTGTCATTGTATTGCTGCTACACTGAAGGTTTCAATACACTGGCATTATTCATGACCATCACACATTAACAACAAAACCGACTCGGTAGACAAGGTTATTTCATTGAGGGGGTTGGGATTTTCCTTGTCTTTGCTTGCATATTATGTCTGATGAGATTAGTATGTGTCTGTATAGAACACGGGGTATATGCACCAGTATTTCCTGTAGGTTGGTTTATAGGAATTTTCAATCCAAATTAACATTCTGGCAACTACACTTAGACTAAATTTTGCAAGCATCATATTACAATAGCTCAAAGCCTAAATCAATGTGAGACTGCACAAGTCTGCCTGCTTATAAATTAATTTTTACCTTTAGGCTACAATATGTGTAGAACACACATATTCATCTTCTGGTATTGTACTAAGACTTTCCTAATACTAAACTTGTTCAGAGTGCTTTAATGCTTTCCCTAATGAAAGAATGACAGCTGATAGTTCATACAGTGTGTTTATTACAGTTTCCTGATATATTTTTATGACCTCCATTAAAACAAGGGATAGATGATGATAGGTTACTTTGCAGTTTCTACATATACGTGTTCTACATATAAATGCTCTTTCTTGTTAACGTGATCTACAAACCTTTTTTGTAAAATAGTGAAAGGGAGGTAGATTTCTGTGGTTTCTGAGTTTGGGGTGCCAAAACAGGCTGAGCATCTATTATAGGAGTGGGGTTTAAAGAGGCTGTGGATCCTTTCTTCTTAGGAGATCTCACAGGAGAAAGATACCTGCATATACAGCATAAATAAAAATATTGAAATAAAAACAAAAATGACACTTCAAAATAAAAAACAAGTGAACAAAAGTAAATACACAATACACATGCATACTTTCCCATTCCCCTTGCTAGAAGGGAAGAGCCTCCATTGAAACAAGTCATTCCTAAAATTGAGAACTGAAAATCAGAGGTATTGAAGCTCATCCATATTTCTCCTCTTGCCACCTCAGGACCAGGGACTGGTGAAACTAGCATCTTTCCCAAAAGTCTAGACAATCACAGCATATAAGAGGAGGTTACTTACCTGTAATGGGAGGTTCTTCAATATGTGTAGTCCCTATCTGTATTTCACTGAGGGTTATGCGCATACACTATGCGCCCAGAGCCAGAGTTTTTCAAAGTAGTATTGCTCGGCAGTCCATGCGTGTGCCCTTGTATTGCCTTGTGGTTTCACCTGAGGCAATAAAGGGTGCGGTGGACCGACTGCATCTCCAGTACGTTCTCCACTGCCGACCTACAGAGCTGCAGCAAAGGGGAAGGAAGGTGGTATTGGAATACAGATAGGGACCACACATCTTGAAGAACTTCCAGTTACAGGTAAGTAACCTCTTCTTCTTTGAGTGATGGTTCCTATTGTATTTCACTGAGGGTGATTGACAAGCTGTACCTAGATAGGAGGAGGGTGCAAGGAAGATGGCAAAACCATATAACAGAGGATCGCTATGCCGAATGAGGCATTTGTTGCAGAATCATGTACTAGAGCACAGTCAGAGGCAAAGGTGTGTACGGAACTCCATGTGGCCGCCTTACATATGACCACAAGAGGCATGTCATGAAGTGCGGCTATGATTGATGCTTGCGTTCTTGTGGAATGAGCTTGTATCCCATCTGGTGGAGAGTGCCCTGACAATTGATAGCAACACATAATGCACTCTGAGACCCACTTGGAGATTCTCTGGGTAGAAATGACCTGTCCTTTCATTCTCTCCACTATGGCGATAAATAGCCTAGGAGACTTCTGGAACGGCTTTCTCCTTTGTAGGTAAAAGGACAAAGGCACACATCAAAGGACTAAAGCCGCCCTTCCTCATTTGAGACATATAGTTTTGGAAAGAAAGTAGGCAGATGTATATGTTGGTTGAGGTGAAATTGGGAATCCACCTTTGGCAGAGACTTGGGATGCTGTCGCAGCGAGACCTTCTGCTTGTGGAACCTAGTGAAAGTGGGGGGAGGGTTTGCCATCATGGCTCCCAGCTCTCCAGCCTTCCTCACTGCGGAAATGGCAACAAGGAAAGCAGAGAAGAGAGAGGGCAGGAGGACAGCGGTTTGAAGAGAGAGTTCATTAAGGACTAAGTCAGTGGTTTCCAAACTGGGGTTCATGAACCCCTGGAAAAAATTCCCTAATGGCAGACAGAGCTGTCCCTAGGCATCCCGGGCAGCCTGGGGCCAGCAGCCTGGAGCCCCTGGACTTCCAAGAGCTAAGCAGATCAAAGCAAGCATCTCTATCACACTGAGGAGATTTAAACTTCAAGACTCCTTATAAGAAATGGAAAGGGAGGTGGATATTTTTTGCTGTTTTTAAAATTAAATAGGCAGCTATTATTATTTTTTTTTAAATTATTATGAAGAACAAGTTTAAGCTTTGTTGTAATGTGCGTTGTTTGCCTGGACTGCTCAAGACCTGAATGCTTGTGTAGGAGGAACTCTGAGTTGGCTTCTTAAATACCTTCATGCTGTTTCACATCACATTTTCACATCCTTGATGAAACATAGGAGCCTTGTCTTATAACAGGCTTATTCAAAGTGATACAAGCTACGAAAGTGAGATCTTGAAAAAGTGTTGCAGTTTTCATAATGTAATAAAAATACTGTAATGAAATAATAATAATAATAAATAGTGTATAATAAGCATGTCATAAAAACAAATTTTACATTTCCAAGATCACTGCTTTTATAATTTATACTCAGGTAAAGGAGAAAATCCCTAGAAATATTCATTTTTAGGAGGGGGTTCGCAAGACTTGACGTTTTAGTGAAAGGGGTTCACGGGTTGTTAAAGTTTGGGAACCACTGGTCTAGATAATACTCAGTCCTGCCATGTAGACCCCTTCCAGTCCTACAATTCTATGAAAAATTGAATGCCCTTCCACTGGAGGATGGAAAGCACTGATGGAAAGCACTGAGACCCCAGGCACTCTGATAGAGCTGAAAGCGAGTTCCCAGGTTTTCAGGTGGAGGAAATAGTCTAAGAGCACGGGAATGCCCACAGCTTCAGGGGCAAGACCTTGCTGTTGGGTCCAGGAGGTAAAAAGTGCCCATTTGGCCTGACAGGATCACCTCAGGGAATCCTTTTAGCTACTGGACAGGACGTCTTGTACTGCCAATGAGCATTCTCGTGCTAATGGAGGTGTCCACGCAAAAACCATGCTGTCAGGTGTAATGTCCATGGATCTGGATGCCTGAGTCTGCCGTTGTTTTGTGTCAGCAGTTCTGGAAATGTATGGAGCAGGAGTGGAGGTAGTTTTGACATGCGGAGAAGAAGAGGGAGCCAAAATTGGCAAGGCCATAATGAAGCAATCAGAATGGCCATCACTATCTCCCGCTGGAGTTTGCGGAGGACGTAGGTTGGAGTGGGAGGAGGGGGAAGGCATAGTTCGTCCAGTCTGACCATTGTCGACCAGAGCATTGCCCAGTGAGTGGGCAGGAGTCCTCCCCTAGTAAGTGCACCGGAACATGCAGAGAACTTTGTCCTACCAGGACAAACAGTTTGTGAGGTCTAGAAGTGCTTCTGAGTCTCCCCGGAGTCAACGGTATCCAGTCTATTAATGGGACCAGAACTGGTAAAGGCATTTGTCTCAGGACCAACAATTCATGGGACGCCAGCAGAGTCGAAGCAGGAGGGGTACGCGGATCTGGCATGCAGTGCGGCCTCTGTTTGCTCATGTGCCTTGGAGCGCATAGCTCGTTTGTGGCCGGAACTCATGGACAGTTCAGTGTCCTTCTTGGATTTAGAGGAAAATTTACTGCCATGCTAATGCACATGTTTCCGTGGTTCACGGCTAGGATCCATCGCAGGGTCCATAGCACTGGTATTGACAGATCCAGATGGAGGCTCCGCAATAGGAGGAGTGCTCTTGGATTGCTCAGGCCAATGTGCAGGGGGTTTCCCCAGACAGGATCCATTTTCAGCCCATGACTACCTCCAGGAGGTGCTTCTTGAGGTGGAGAGCTCAGCCTTCCCGTGTATGGGCAGGGAAGGTGAGGCAGATGCTGCACCTGGAGGTGATGTGGGCTTCCCCCAAACAGTACAAACAGCGTTGGTGTTCATCGCTGGTGGAGAACGAGCAAGGGCAGGAAGCACTGACTTTGAATCCTGGCATCATCGGCATAATCCAGTAACCAGACCCAGGAGCGGGTGGTGGTGAGAAGGAACTGGAGACCTTTTTCTGTCTGACCCGCCTTTTATTGCCTCGGGCAAAACCACAAGGCAATAAAAAGGTGCATGCATGGACCACCGAGCAATACTACTTTGAAAAGCTCTGGCTCTGGGAGCATAGCGCATGCGCATAACCCTCAGTGTAATACAATAGAGACCATCACTCAAAGAAGAAACAAAGCTTCTCTCTGCTCTGCCAAATTGTTGGCTGCAGGCATTTTTTCTTCCTCTGGCACTGTTGGGTGTGGAGATTACCCCACTTGCCCATGTCTGGAGGGGCCAGTGAGGAGCTGCTGCTGGCAGACCAGATCAAGGTAGTTGGGAAGAAATGCTGGTCATGGCGTTGAGTAGCAGCTGTAATCACACATGCTGGCTTATGGCATCACAAACCTTTTTGAAAATATGGGCATACTAAGAAGTTTTGCCAAAGTATTTGAGTAAAAAGAGTATATCTATCCCTACACAGATGAAGTCATGCCATGTAACATAACAGTTTGCAGGGAAATCCTGGTAAACAGAAATGACATTAGAAGTATAAGTTTGATGGAGTTTGAGAAAAGATATTTTAAAATTTGGTTGAGGATGGCCTGTTTTTACTATGAGTTCCAGCAAAGGTAATGCACAAGTCAGCATAACTTTAGTACCAAGTCCAACAAGGAAAAATGCAGTATATAAATAAATAGTTAAAAAATATTGTGAAAGAAATTAACTCCACACAGCACTTATCTCCAAGCATGCACTTTACTTACAGATCTGCCGCAGTGTGATTATGCTGGAGAGGAAAGTTAAGAGTGCAGGTGGGCTCAGGTTGATCAACTTGGCCTTCTCGTTCCTTGGATTGCTTAATAAGATCAAATAGAGACGAATCCTAAAAAAGAAAATCATAGTAACAACATTAGCAAAGGAAACTGACTATCTGACAAGAGTCACATCAACAATTGGGGCACTGCTCAAGTGCTCTATGTTCCTATTTATTTCTAGTGTTCACTCTGCACTTCCTCTGGCAATGGCTTCAGTTAGCCAGTTCAAGGACATTCTGCCTCCTCCATAACCCTCAGTTAGGATTTGAAAAGGCCAGTGTGATGGCCCTGTGCTCCTTCTCCTTTTTTGACTGATCCTGTTCCAGTTCAAGTGCTTCCTGGCTTACTTCAGCTGCTATGTGTTAAATACAGAAAGACTCAAGAGCATCAAATTGCAGTTCAAAGGCACTTAAGATCTCCTTTTGTATTGTAGGTTGATTACTGGTACTTTTGGCTAAGGAGGAAGGAGGAAGTCTGAACCCTGCTAAGATCAAAGATAACGGAGAGGTGATGGGGAAGGACAGTGGGAGGAGGGTACAAATGGAGTGAAGAAGATGGATGAAGCAAGGATCTCACACTGTCATCATCAATAGCAGAACCTCGCGGCTTATCTGTGAAGTTGTTGGTAGAACTATATAGAAATGCATGAAGAACATATTCTTGCTTCACACCATAGCACTAAACTAGTCTTGAAAATACAGACGTGCTGGATTTTTTGTTTATGGCGACTTCAGCAGGGGGCTCCTGCTTAGCAATCATACTCTTTCAGTAATGTGACACCAAAACCCAGCCACCAATATCGAGTCAGGAATAACGGGGAGAAGAGAGATGTATCTATTTCTGTAGTGTTAAGCTTTGTATTGGAAGTAAAAAGGCATTAGTCAGGTAGTAAACAGTGGCAGATATGGATGAGCAAAACGTGGGAAGTTGGCATTTTCCTACCCCTAATCCGAAGCAGAGAGCATCAACACTGATGGACCTAACATTTTACATATACTGAATGTGTTGCTTGTCTGTTCAAGGTCCATCAAATTCTATGAATGAATGTGTTACTAATAAATATACATGAAAAGACTGCAAATGCATTTATAATAGCAAAATTGACAAAGGAGTCTGTAATGTGAACACAGCACTGATTTGTAGGTTCACAAGCAAATGTAAAGTAAACTGGTCATCCCAGCTGCACCAGTCTGGCATAAAGGCAAAAAACTTCAAACACTGGTATTCGTTTTTTTCCCTACAGCTCTATTATTCTGAATGGGAATTGCAGTGTTGCAAACTCTTGAGATTGTAGTGTAAATCTCAGGATATTTGGGGGATTTTCTCAAACCCTAACACCTGGAATCTGGTGACCCCAAAGGAATCTCAATTTTCATTAGAAAAAAAGAAGAAGAAGATTCTAGTCCTCATGGTTGTGGAGAAGAGCTTGAAAACATGAATCCTGCAGGTTCAAAAACCAGAAGACAAAAAGAACCCAACATATATTTTTCTTACAATCTCATAATTTCCAAGCCATGATTTTGGCAACACCGGAACTGTCTAAGCCACAGCAGAGAAATGATGTACAGTTCCTGGCTCATGACCAGTTATTTCTCAGTTATACAAGTACCTGCAGGCCAACCAGGTGATGGGGGCTGGTTGCATGACTTTTCTCAGTAACTACAAGTATTTACAAGACTATGATTTGCTTGCCTATTACACCTTTAGAACTCCCACACATGTCCAAACAGACAACTGTTACCTCAGCTTCTCACTCTCCCACCTACATCACGCCTCAGTTCCTCTCAACAGTCCCTCCTGCTGTCAATGCTGCTCCTGTCTCCTGAAGAAGTCCCCTTCCTGGAGCAATTAGTCATTCATTTTTCAAGCTTCCCCTCTTCCCTTGACATGAGTAACAGCTCCACTAGCCAAGGGGGATGGGAGACTCCTGTGCCCATTCAATTCAGATTTTAAATATCTATGATGAGGAAAATACTCTTCTTGATGAAAAAGAAGTAAGAAAAATTTATTAAGGCAAACAGCTAGTCTGGGGGTGGAGAGGTGTGTGAGATGGAAGGAAAACAGAAAAGCAGAAGACCAAATTTCAGCATAATGAGAGAGTGTCTAGTGGTTAAGAACATGGAAACAGGAGTTCTGGGTTTTTTCCAAGTAGGCTGCTTTTCTCCTAGTTTTCCATCCCTTTAAATGTATTTGAATTGACTTTGGTTATAGACAGACTTAAGTTATGTATTTGCCTTTGTTTTTCTCTATTTTCAAAAAATATATTTATCAAATTATTTCTTTGGGGAATCTGATCTCTTGAATGCTAATTTTTTGAGCCAAGATATGAGCCACTGAATACAGGGGTTAATAGTGCAATCACTGAGACTTAATTAGAGTACAATAATATTCTAAAACTAGGGACTTTCTTGAATGTGCAAAAAATGAGGTCATTATCCACGAGTTCCGGTTGGAGTAATCAATGCTTAAAAAAAGAACTTTGTACCCAAAACTCAGTTTTATCTATTGATAAGGTTTATCTAAGTGACTTTTGTTTGTAAAGTAACTTTACTCACATTATCTGAGATGTTATATTGCTTCTCAAATCTTTTAAATAGTATTTCAGATCAGTAGCCTCTCCACCCATGAATACCCTTCACATGAACAGTTTTAGTGCACACATTTTTTAAAATGCCCGAGTAAATTTTTTGCTCAAGAATCTGACTGATGTCACTGGATACATAGTACGAATTCAAACAACAAAATAATAACATTGCATTTCTTTTGGGGATCTTAAAGTGCTAACTAAGATAGGTAATACAGCCCCATTTTATTGAGGTGGAAATGGAGACATGATCTAGTACCACTAACTTGTCAGAGTCAGGAATAGAGCCGAAGTTTGATTATCAGTTTTCCTCCCCCAACTCTAACCATTAGACCATGCTGCCATGGTAATACCACTTTACTGAGTTCAGAAACTGAGTTTTAAGAAAAAAAGTTTAACATATAAACCCAGCCAAAATTCAAATATCCTTTAAGTATCAGTAGTTTTCTGCCAGATGTACACAATTCAGAATTGCATTCATGAGGACTGGGTGCTTGTTTTGGTTTCAGAGTCCACCAATTACAACAACGCTTAATCTTCTTTTAGGTAATTTGTCAAAGAAATCAAATATTTTTGAGTCTTTGTGAGGCTCAGAGTAAGATTTAGTAAATCTGTGAGATCTTTCACCTTAACAAAAAAGTTTCTAATTCTTTAGGTACTACTTTTATCTTTGTTTTAGATTTCTTAACATTTAAATAATTTCCTAACACACTTTCAAGCTTTGACTCCATAATGCATCTTAGTACTATAGCTATTGCTAAACTATCTGAAATATATAGTGTAACCAAACTTTTAAGCAACTAAAAATAATTATGAAATTGGTAAATTAAATCAGATATTTTAATATTAAGAAGCTATGAAATCTTTGGAAAATATTCAATAATTGGATGTGTTCCTTTCATCCAAAGCAAGAATAGATCTGAAATTAACAGCTTTAAAAAGAAGCTGCAATAACTTGCTTCTAGCTACCACTTTGTATTCACTCTGCCAGAGGTGAAAATCCCTATGGCAGTTGTAAGGGTTTAGAACAGTGGTGGGCAACCTGCGGGCCCGTCAGGGTAATCTGCTGGCGGGCCACGAGAGAGTTTGTTTACATCGACCGTCTGCAGGCACGGCCGCCCACAGCTCTCAGTGGCCGCGGTTTGCCGTTCCCAGACAATGGGAGCTGCGTGAAGCGGCGCAGGCCAGCTGCTGCTTCCCGCAGCTCCCATTGGCCAGGAACGGTGAACAACAGCCACTGGGAGCTGTGGGTGGCCGATGTAAACAAATTGTCTTGCGGCCGCATGAGGCCCGTAGGTTGCCCAGCACTGGTAGAAGCTTCACTTTCATTTGCAAAGGCACTTCGAAAAGCCTAACAAAACCACTAGCATTCAGAACAATGAAACAATTTAGGCCTGCCAAAACAAAATCCTGACTAACCCAATGATAACTTAATTCTCCAAACCTAAACCGCATATCCCATAAAAGAATTGAAGATTAAAGACCATAATTTCCAACCGATTGGATAGACCTTATCACGGTTTCATTGATGAGAGAAGTCTTTTTCATGAGTTTTTTTATTCCAAATACCAGTATCACATATTTGTTATGCAAAAGTGAAAAATGGCTAATTTGCGCTACATCCCCAGTTTAACTCCAGCAGAGCAATACCTGCTTTTACCAGTGCTGAATTTGGCTGCACATAACTTTTCATTAACCTCCCTGCTTTTCTCAAATGTGAATACAGAGTTGCTAAACTACACTTGAAGATTGGCAGACATGCTAAACCAATGACACCATGGTAAGTGCTATCTATTTGGTAAGTATGTAAGCACTAAATACAATTCATTTTTCAGTTATTTTCAAGCATTGAAAACTGTACTAGACATCTCCTAATAAAATCTGATCAGCATCCCAAAAAGCTTACAGTCTAAATTCAATATGGCACTAGAAGTAAAGGTCAAACAACAAAGGAAGGAGACAATACCTATCAGAGAATGTTGTAATACAGAAATTGTTCTTGTTTCACTTGTTTTCTTTTCTTCACATTCATGTCTTGTAGGTGAGATAACAGCGTGATTTTTAGGGTGGATATAAAGAAAGGAAGATTGATGAAGAGATCTGGAGAAGGCATTTCAAGTATAATGGGAACTACAGAAGCAAGAGGCTCAAATTCATAGTTGCCCTATGTGATTTTTAGCAGCTAGACTGATGCAAAGGGGCTGTAGGGAGGTATAATCACCTCACCATTTCTTAGGAATAGCCCTAGAACTGGGGGTGAGCCAGAGGAGGGGAATGCAGTTTGGGAATGAGAGGTGGTGTAGCCGGGCTATGTCATGTCCCGGCAGTTCTGCACCCATGAATAGGGGCCACTGCAACAGGGTGCAAGTTAGTGCTACCACCAAGCTGCCCTCGCCTACACTGGGGACACCAGCAGCTCCTGAACAAGGGAATGTGCAAGGTGCACCTTGCATGTATCTAGCCTGAAGACATTTGAGAAACAAG